CCCAGGAGCGTACGCGTTTTTGTTACAAGTGCGGGACTAAAGGTGTTATCACTGCGGACTGCACTAATTGTCAGCCAAAAAACTAGGTAGGGGCGCCGTTCCGGCTGGTCGTAACCACGCACCCCTTATCAAGACCAGCGAATCACCTCGACAGTGGACCCGTTGGCTCGATTTTGTCAGAGCTTTTTGTAGGTCGCCGACAATGACTCAACTTAATACGGTCTGCCTGGACAACAAGGACGATCATCGACCACGTATCGGGGTACGTCTCGGCCAGACAGCGTTGACCGCCCTTCTAGACTCGGGAGCTACTAAGTCTGTCATCGGTGCGAGATGTTCCTTCTTGTTAGACCACCCTCGCGTAGTAAAGCGCCAATCTAGGTATCGGTTTGTTCGCACTGCCGACAGACAACCACATGTTGTTGACTGTGAGTTGTCACTGGATGTTTTGTTTGATTCCGTCACCAGAAGTTTATCGGCTTTGTACGTTCCTTCCCTAGCGGTAGGATTGATCCTAGGGAATGATTTTTGTGATGAATTCGCGGTAAAAATAGATTATCTCACCCACACATGTAGTGCCCAGGTAAAATCGTTACCCCAAATATGCGCTCTTGGACCTGACACGGGGGTAGTAGATACCACTCATGAGGCCCGCATGATGAAGGCTATCACAATGTTTGGAGAAATTGGCGGCCCCGAATTAGGAAGAACAGATAAGCTGTCGTTGTCCATCGATACAGGCAACTCACCACCTTTTAAACAGTACCAATACCCTCTGTCACCCTATCTTCAAGGCATTTTGAACAAAGAGATTGACGAGATGATTAATCTTGGCGTCATTGAGCCGTCCCAGAGCCCATGGTGTTCGCCAGTGCTGCTAGTTAAGAAGAAGTCCGGGGAATATCGCTTTTGCTTTGACGGTCGGAAACTAAACAGCGTGACGAAGCACGACTCGTATCCGCTTCCCAGGATAGACCGGATCTTGAATCTTCTACGCGATGCGCGGTGGATCACTACTTTAGATTTGAAGAAGGCCTTCTGGCAGATTCCATTAGATGAAGCCTCAAAAGAGAAGACGGCTTTTGCGGTACACGGTCGAGGTCTTTTCCAATTTTGTGTTATGCCCTTTGGACTACGAAACTCCGCCCAGACCCAGCAGCGTTTGATGGATGCATTGTTTGGTCCACAGTTTGAACCAAACATCTTCGTTTACCTGGATGATCTCATTTTGGTCACCTCCACATTTGAAGAACATTGTCGCCTGTTAGGGGAAATAAGAGGACGACTTAGAGAAGCCAAATTAACGATTAACGTTGAAAAAAGTAAATTTTTCCAAACCTCCCTCCGCTATCTTGGGTATGTCATTGACGCGGAAGGCCTGCGTACCGACCCCGAGAAGGTTTCCGCCATGTCCTCATATCCCCGTCCGAGGAATGCTACGGAGATCAAACGCTTCATGGGACTCTGTAGTTGGTATCGCCGCTTCATCCCCAATTTTTCGTCGCTGGTGTCTCCGATGAACGACCTGTTAAAAGGGAGGAAGAAGAAACAAGAAGTGTTGTGGGACGACCGAGCGGAGAAAGCTTTTACCGCCGTCAAGGAAGCTCTAATTGCAGCCCCAGTTTTGTCGCCTCCAGATTTTTCTCGGCCTTTTACAGTACAATGTGATGCTTCGGATACGGGTCTAGGTGGTGTGTTGACACAGGTAATAAACGGTGAGGAGAAGGTAATCTGCTTTGCGAGCCGATCGCTATCTAAAGCGGAGAGGAATTACTCGGTTACGGAGCGCGAGTGTTTAGCCGTCATTTTTAGCATAGAGAAGTTCCGGCCATATGTGGAGGGGTCGGAATTCACTGTCGTTACTGATCACCACTCGCTGCTATACTTATTTCGCATGAAAAACCCAACAGGTCGCCTCGCCAGATGGATCCTCAGATTACAACAATTCTGGTTTGAGATCGCACATCGTAAGGGACAATTTCATATCGTCCCCGACGCCCTGTCACGTAGTACACAGCCCCAGGAGGGAGGTCGATACCAAGAACCCGACGTCGCCCTTATCGACCTCGAACCGTGTGAGCGTGACCAGTGGTATCGTCGCATGCTACAGAGAGTAGTCGATCACGGCGACGTTTACTCGAACTGGGACGTCATCGATGGTAAACTGAGGAAGTTTATTCCGAGCAAAGCACCTTTGGAAGCCAACGAGAGGCAGTGGAAATTGGTGGTGCCGAAGTCTCGAAGAAGCGAAGTAATGAGGTCCTGTCATGACCCGCCAACGGCAGCACATTTTGGGGTCTACAAGACTCTTCAGAGAGCTCGAAGTGAGTATTATTGGCCCGGTATGCGCCGAGATGTGGGCAGGTATGTGAAAGGTTGCGGCCCGTGCGCGGCCCAGAAGATTCCCCGAGCTGCCCCGTTTGGTCTCCATGGCCGAGAAAAGATAGCGCGTTTTCCTTGGCAAATTATAGCCCTGGATTTCAAAGGTCCTTTCCCCCGTAGTCGTTCTGGCCATAAATACATTTTAGTGGTAGGTGATTGGTTTTCCAAATATACTCTTCTTCTGCCGATTAAGAGAGCCACTGCCCGTCCCGTCTTAAAGTTTCTAGAAGAAAAGGTTTTTCTCGTCTTCGGAGTACCGCAATGCATCATTGTGGACAATGGGAAACAATTCATTGGAAACGCTTTCAAGAATTTTGCAAAGTCCTACAACGTCCAGAAAATCTGGTATAACGCCAAATACCATCCACAGGCCAATTTTGTAGAGAAAACCAACGACACAGTGGGAACGGCTCTGCGTATGTATGTGAAAGAACATGATAATTGGGATCTAGAGATACCGAAGATCCAGTGTGCAATCAACACCTCTTGCCACGAAAGCACACGCTACACCCCGTCATTTTTGAATTTTGGAAGGCACGTTCCTTTGTCTGGAGACTATTATGGAGCCCTGTCGGCAGACGAAGGCGACGAAATCGATTTCACCGTGGCGGACCGTCGCGATTACGCGGATAACTTGGATCAGCTGAAGAACGTCTTCCAGGAAGTCCGAAGAAACCTCCACAGGGCCCATGTGAGACAGTCACTACGTTATAGTACTTCTCGGAAGGACATAACCTATGACGTGGGTGATAGGGTCTGGAGGAGAAACAAAGTGTTGTCGTCTGCAGGACAGCGTTTTATGGCGAAACTTGCGCCCAAGTACGTCTTAGCTACGGTTACGGCGAAGGTTTCCAATTTAGTGTATCGTGTGCGAAATGAGGACGGCTCGGATGCCGGAAATTGGCACGTGAAAGATCTGAAGCCTTTCTATGACCGTACCGATACAGAAGATGGATCTTCCTCTGAAGACGAGGAACGAGTTTCTACCTCCGGAAGCAGCGATTAGTACACGAGCACATGCAGCATTTTGTCTCGAACGTACGACTCCTTACAACTCGTTGTCGGTACTCTTGGTCCTGTTTATTAGTAATCAGAAAATCTCGAGAGTTGTTGATTGGGTTTGGCTTTGACAGTAAGTAATTTTAGAAGCCATTAATCTGTTCGCTTTTTACCCCAGGTAGGGATGCGCAGTAAAAGAAAAGCCGTCGACTTTTCTTTCCTTTTCGGAGAGGGGCCGTGTTACGATTTTTTTTGGAGTCGAGGGTGAAAGGGGCTTAGACGAAGTCTCGCTCGATGGTTTTAATCGGTCGTAGCGAACGCCTGTCACCGATCTCGACCTCTTTTTTTATTGCGGATTGTCGCCGGCAGCTCCGCCAAATTTTGAGTTTTTTTTGCCTCTACGAAGTAGTACTGGCGGGGACGGAGACGGCCAAGCGAGAGGTGGGGGTGCAAAGAGAGAGAAGAGTGAGAGTTGGTGCCGAGAAGAGGTGATTTGAGTTTGGCGAGGTTTGACCTGATGGTTTCCTTTCTTTTTTTGAGAGTACTCAGTTCCATAGATTGATAGTGAGGCGTATCCCTTGTATAAGGTAAATTTCGTGCCTTTTGCCGCATGTAGGCTTATTGCTCCACCTGTAGGGTCCACGCCAGGGGCGAAGTTTCGGAGCCGTACAGAGGCGACGTAGAGGGCAGCGAAACGAGGGAAATTTGCTGGGCGTAGCGCCAGCTAGGAGACCCGGAGTTTTTGGATGATCGCGACGTCGAAGACGCGGACCTGGTGAGTTGAACATCGGGGGATCCAGGCCGCGGCAGGACTTGGTCAGCGCGTCGCCGTCGTCCTGTGGGAAGACTCCTGTTTTTTTGAGCTACGAGTAAAAGAACACGCCTTATCGCGATCGGAAATTTTCTTATCGTTTGTCGCCAGACCCAACCGTTTTTTTTTGCGTCTCTCTCTTTCACTCTTTACATGCTTTTCAACGTTTTTTCAAATTTTCACGTACCCGCATAAATTTGATGGCGCCCAATTTTTTTATTTGTGAAATAGTCAGCATTTCCTGTAACTAGCTAGTAGACCGTTGTTGCGTAGTAGTTCGTCAGTTCATTTGTTATGGTAATTCGTTACTGACATTAGTTGTAGTTTTGTTACCTTTTACTAACCTAGATAATATTTTTTTTTGTACTAAAAGCCCTAAATATTTTAATTATTATACAGCTCGCCAAAATAATTAGCCTTTCATTCTGAATTAAAACCTCGGATCCACCTACCGGCTCTCCCGGAAGTGAGCACGGGCAAGTGTATCTTCCCTCGCTTTTATAGCAGAGACGACGTTTTAAGGTAACAATGTATTTGGTTTTTATCATCTTTACAACACGCACTATAAAAGTATGGTCGAGATTACAACATTATACTTTGTAATTTGCAGGAAATTTGATTATAAAGATTGTTAAAAATATGTTTCTATATTATTTGCAGCCCACACTTTTATCATATGATAAACATACGGATTTTGCTTGATCAATTTTATAAAATATTACGTACTTCGTATATTGTAAAATTCTCAGGGTATTATTCTTATGAGTAATACATACATAATTAAAAAGAAAAGATAATTAATACTTACATCTGTCATTGTAAATTTCTACAGAAATATATATGTAACCAAGTTTAAGTTCACAATTTTCACAAATATATTTTACAAGTTCGAAACCAAGCAGATAACGATTACTTGATAAAGCAAAGGCGGATTAGTACCTATGCAATATTTGTGTTACAGAAACACAATTACGTGTTTTTCAGCGGCGGGTGTATGTGGGAACATCTTTGATAAATAAAACACCTCAAAAAATGTGAGAATATATAACAACAGAAATCTTAGATTGTACTTACATTCTTTGAAAACTGTAACGAACAAAGTACAGACCTTAATCCGTTTATAAAAAAAAAAAAACAGAATTAACGACACACAGATGTAACGCCACTGTATAATAATTTGAGTGTTCGGTTAGAGTAATTTACATTAAAAATTAACACAAATTATGGAAACCGATCTCTTCACAAAAAAATATTGTGCATTACCGTATTTTAATTAAAATAATTAATTGATAAATTAATATAATTAAACTTAGAGCATTATTGTGATTTACATGCTCGAAATTCTAAGTTGGGTCGTCAGTTCAAACTGTTTCAGTTCGTCCATTCTAGCATTGGTATTCAGAGAACCGCACAACTTTAATTTTTGACTTGTTTTTCTGTTTTTATTACTTCATGAATAATGAAATATCAAGGAGTGCAGTACACTTATTGACTCACCATGATTAGGTACTTCTTAAACTTCAACAACCACATTGTACTATAGTGTTTTAGGGATTTTAAAAAATATTACTTAATTATACTAAATCATTAATTTCGCATTTGCACTGAACGAAACATAAAAACAAACTATGAATGGATTTCCTAATAGGGTAATAGGTTTCCTTCTAACCCATTTTCGTGTTACCACATATTCCTTCTAACCCATTTTCGTGTTACCACATATACTTTCTGATGATATATCGTGTCATGATTCCTTTTTGATGCATAGGACGCAAATTTAAATAAAGATAATAAAATGTGTTGCCCTGTCATGATTTTATAGCACCAGTCGTAAAGGTAAAAGGTAGAATAGAATTCAAAAAGATTTTCAAAACCAGAATTATAGTTTAATTATCTGCATAGATACTAACTTATATCTATGTAAAAACAAACATCAGTCTTGTGATAACCCAAACATCCCGCCTTAAATTGACATGTGAAAAAAAATTGAGGGGGCTAAAAATCGCATCCCGCTCTAGGAGGAAAAGGAGCTGCGAGCGAGGGCACCTCGTGACTTGCCATCAGGCTGCCCAAGGGGGCCGAATCGCATTCACTTCTCAGCTCCAAAAACCCCCTATGGTTTATTCACCCACATAGATTAATACTTGCCACATTTTATCAACGATTCAAACAAAGAGTTTACATTATGTCAAATTATGTCATGAGCCAAGTAATTGGTTACTTAAAAAACAATTTACTTTGAGAGTTTATAATACCGTGAACTGGTTACCCCAACAAAAGACATAATAAATAAACACAAAAATATCCAGTCATCGTTGCGAGGAAAAAGCGTCTCGGTGATGTAAATTTTAGCGTTACGAGGAAATGTCTCGGTGATGTAATTTTTAACGTTGCGAGGAAATGCCTCGGTGGTGAAATGATTTTAACGATGATAACTGCCTAAGGGAAGAAATTATTTTAACTCCCCGCCAGTTCACGGTATGGATTAGTTAATTTAACTGCCGTAAATGCAGTATTAGCAATCTTGTGTGAAGAATTATGAAGTGTTATAATGTAACACTTACGTATTAGCATCCAGAAACCTCATTCATAACTTGTAAACAAAGGTTGTTATCCTGACTAAGTGAATTTCATGAAATCTCCTGGTATATGTGTGTCTAAGCAAATCTAATGTCTGTTAAATTGTTTTAGAACCAGTTAATGATTAAAAACCTAACCTGATCGGTGAATTTACAAACAATAAAACAAATTTACAGCAGGTTTTTACCGATTAAAAGGCCGTAAGAATTAGCTGCACATATTGGGGAAAACTTTGACGTCATCGTTACGATTAATTTACATTAAACAAAGGCTTCCTCCCTTTTATTAACTACCAAACCAACTAATTTAACCTAGCTATTTATAGCGTCTTCTCACCATGCATCCACTACACCGAACCAAAACATAATGACAACGCTTTCAGCCATGCTCTCGCCATTTTGTTTACCAACCAAACCTTTAACTAAAATCTCCTAGCGAGCTACCAACTAGCAGGAAAAGAACTAAACGTGCACAAGGCCCATGTTTAACGATTTTTTTGATTGAAATTATTTTCTCAAATTCAAAATATTTAAATGTGATTTCGCGCCGTTGTTAATTAATTTCAGCGCGAAAATTTGATTCAAATTCGGTCACCACAGTATTTTAATTAATGTTGTATTCAGACAACGAAAATATATGATTTTGGTATTATGGTGAATGCGTCACGGTTGTGTATAGAACATTATCCGTACAGGAGACACCCTGACGAGGTCTTGTTTTGAATTTGTTTTTTTCTTACCAAGCCGTTGACCTTTACTTCCAAATTATCAAAACCAAACAGCTATGTTTTACTTAAAAAAAATAATGATAGTAAAAAATATCGACTGCTAGTAATTGTATTATTGGTTGCGTTTTGAATTTTTCAAGCGAAGAGCTTCTCGTGAATAAGCCTGTATATAGGATGTTGATAAATGATTCACATTTAGAAGGCCGCGAAAACGACTTGAAAAAAAATTCGTTTTTGAAAAACACAGTTTTTGGCGGCAGAATTTGAGTATTGCCATTTCCCATCAATTTCTTGGCCAGACCGGAAACTGGTTTCAATACCTAAACTCAATAGGTGTAGTGTATTAAATTATTTAATTGCTTAAATTAGTAACCTAGTGCACATTATATTTGTCAAATTTTTGTGTTTAAAGTGATGTGCTTTTGTAGAAATAAGCGCATTATGAAAATTAATAATAATTTTCCCTCATAAAGTTATCTTCTTGTACATATTCAGGAATAGTTATTTTTCTGGCGCCTCTTCGTGACCTGTGAATTCTAAAAAAAATTGTATTTACTTTATTTGGTTTTAGTTTATCTTACTTGTTTCAAGCCTGCTGAACTGATGTAGTAGCTTAACGGGGGTACCATGAGAATTAACTTCTATAAAAATATTTATGAATTTTATTACATTTCAAAAATCGACACATACCTTTTGTGGCCACTTTGGTCGTACCTGTTCCCTTCTTTTTCTCTACAAAACATAATTTAGTCAAAGTTTTGAGATAATAGAAAAGTCCACAGAATCAAAGTCATCATGATAGTTATCGCGTTTTATGTTTTAACTAATTTTATAATCTAAATGTAAATATTTTACCTTCGCCGACACTGATGCTACGTGCTGTTGTTAAATTTTCCATGTAAATTTCCAAATCTTTGTTTTTCTTCACCATCTCGTCGATCTCTTTAGACGCTAAATTTAGATCAGCTCCAGATTTAATTAAAAAATCAAACATGCGAAAATCTTGATTTGATAAGCTAATCGACAAAGCAGTTTGATTATCTTTACTCTTTTGATTGATGTCAACTCCTCGTTCGACTAAATATTTAACCATGGGAAAATCCATCAAGCGAATTAATTTTAGAAATGGAGTGTACCCATTTTGATCTGTTACTTTTAAACTGGCGCCTTTTTCGACCAAAAATTTTATCATTTCGGCGTTTCTTGTATCGACTGCCGTTATTAAAGCTGTGTGAATCGTAAAATCAGCGCCGTTATCTAGAAGAAATTGAATCATTCCCATGTTTTTGTTGCGTATTGCACAAGATAATGGAGTCTGACCTTGTTTATCAGGCAGACATGCATTTGCACCTTTATGTATCAAGTATTTGGCCAAATCGAATTTATTTTGTCTTATGCAATAAATCAGAGGGGGTTCGTCGTTTCGTTGATTTAGATCGACACCATTTCGGATCAGAATTTCAAGGACCTTAATAGGGTTTGTAGAATACTGTAAGGTATAGGCTAATGGTTTCAATCCAGTGTATGGATCAGTTGCAGTGTTTACATTTATGCGTTTCACTACTTTTTCGACTTCCACGCAACGTCCGTCACCAATCTCAACGAAAAACTTCTCAAGCTCCTAGACGCAAAAAATAAAATTATTTAAATAACATAATACAACATAATCAGTTATTCCGCAACAGAAAAGTAGAATATGGCTAAAGATATAGGGCAGTTATGGCTTAACTGCTAGGTATTCAACTTGTAGTTTTTACTAGTACCTGCATATGTCACAATAGACTGCAATAAATTCCCTTATCTGGCAAGATTATTTCAATACGGCCCTTTGCCCTCCCAGCCGTCTACTCCACCTATACTAAACGCAAACATTTAGTGCGTTTATGCCTTTGACGTTTAAAGTGCTTTACAACCCACCCCGCATAAAACTTGGCAAATGCAAACCATGCCACGTGTTAGGGACGGCCGAGACAGTACTGCGTGTGGTACTGCCGTGTACGTACGTGGTTTTACCAGAAAAGGTCTTTTCAGGTAGGTTATCAGTAGAGTCCGGAATTTATGAGATTTGCATATTGATGACTGTTCATACTACACCTAAATGCTTTCGGATCTAGGCGAATTATGTAAATAGGAATTGATTGACGCATATTAAATTTTGCATATTTTGCATATATTAATATTTTTCACATATTTTCGTATCTTTTGCATATTTTTACATATTTTGCCAATTTTTAGATTTTCAAAGCATAACGCGAACTTTTTATTGCAAGTGTCGGCGTTTTTAACTTCTAAAGGTCGAAATCTATATATAAGATATATTGGTTAAATTTCGAAAATTGTCAAAAGCAATCGAAAATTTCAAAATAGGGTGTATTGAAAAATTGAGTTTTTGAAAAAGTTACTTAAAAAATCTCAAACAATTCTGAAATATACATATATTTTAAAAGAAACTAGCCCCGCCCACTCGCCCTGTCTGTTCTTAGAGGTATCTCATCTGCCAAAATCAGTTTTATCTTAGCAGGTACTAGCCCTCTCTTTTTTAGAGGCTATGTCATTTGCTAAAATCGATCTTATTTTAGCAAGTACATACTAACCCCGCCCACCTACCTTCTATTTTATTAGAGGGATCACATTTGTCAAAATCAGTCTTATCTTAGCAACTACTAAGTTTAACTTTTTCTTACAGAGTTCTAACTTAACAGATACTAGCCCCGCCTACCGGCGCTGTTCTCATTCTAACGATTTTATTTCTGTTGAATATAATTCCAAACAAGCATTAAAAAGGGGGGGAAAATAGGACAACTTATCTATAAATAAAAAGTTTAAGGAAGTACATCACTGGTGAGGTTAACATAGAACCAAATTTAATTAGCGCTCTTGTTTGCACCCATTACATCAGTGGATGTAGAGAGGAGTTTCTCTACCTATAAACAAATTTTGTCTGATAGGCGGCGTAATTTTTTTATTGAAAACATTGAGAAACATATAGTTGCAAGTTATAATGTTAATGCCGACATTTAAGTGTTTTTTAATGTTTCATTGTACTCGTTCTGTTTAAAAAATATTTGTTATTTAGTCGTGTGTTTTTTGTAAAATAAAGTTTTTCAAATATGGCAAGCACAATATTGTTTTAAATTTAACCTACTAGACTCATGGATACACTACCAGTTTATTGTATGCTCAATAAAAAAAAGTACAAAATGTGTGCATATTTTTATAAAAAAATTGCATATTTTCGTAAAATTAAAACATATTTTCTTATTTTTCTGCATATATATGCACATATTTTGGCCAAATTTCGTGCATAAAATTCCAGATTCTAGTTATCAGTAAGTGGGTTTAAGACGTCGGGCTGTGACGGCCTACTTAATTATATTGGGAGTTAAATTTGTGTGAAGCCATAAACGCACTAAATGTGTGCGTCTAGTATACCACTGCCTTGCATTTATTGACTTTTATGAGGGATCCTCTGTAAGATTTTTGCCCATAGTCGTAAACGCGCTATATCATTAACCAAACTTTACCCTCTACTGTCCGAGAAGTATGATATATTTCTAGATAAGATTAGATCCATAATAGTTATTAGTGTTATTACAAATATATTTTTTAGAATGTTCGTATTTAATACTTACTGACATTGGTGTTGAAAACATTTTACAAATACCAATTACCAGAATACGTAGCGATTTTATAACACCAAACTTAACCGATAAAATACTGTAGAGTTAATGAGATACCACAAGTTACTTTATCTTTCTTATCAAAATTTGAGAAGCGTACCTGTATGACAAACATTAATAGGAAATTTAGACTTATATAAATATGTATGATTTTTTATTTTAAACTTTATTGTAATAAGCATTAAACTATCAATTTCCTTTACTCAGTCTCATTTAATTTGTAATAATAATATCAATAATGTTCATTTTTAACAAGTGTGAATAGTAAAATATTTTTCACATTCACAGGGATAAAAGAGTGAACAATAAAAAAAAATATTTGTTTACGTAATAATTATTTAAATAATACCACTATAATCTTTCATAGAACTCGTGGTAACTCCAAGATCCCGCTAAAATTTGGCCTTGAACTGTGATCGTCAACAATGGCGGCATGCGTTCAAATGCAGAGTGGTGAACTCCAAGGTTGGAAAAGCGCCCCCAAATAAAACAAAATATTGAGGACACAAAAATCATTTATTCCTCCATTCTAGAGAGGTAAAAACCATTACGAAATACGTCGACCTTAAATAGTGGATTAGATATTTGAATATCATAAATTAAAAAAAAACAAGACAAAGGAGTGTTCTAACTTTGAAGTCTGTGTCTGTTTGTGACATTGTAGTTCTCAAAGGGATGAACCGATTCCAATGCGTTCTTTTCTGTTTTTTTTTAAACTGATTTAATTGCGATTGTTCTTAGAGATGTTTGTTGATAATAACTTCAGTCATTTCCAGTAGCGGCTCGTGACCTTTTGCAATGGGAGGACACAATTTGATTGATGAGTTAAATATGAAGATATAAGAGAACAGGTTGTATTACCAATTACTAAACGAAATTGTGTGACGGAAATAAATACAAAAATACATCCAATAAAAGTAAAAAAGGATTTCTCTACATACCTTTCTGCCTTCGGTTAAAATTTTACGTACATGGCATATAAAAGTTCATTTTGAACAGTTTTATGCGTTATTCCTTTAAAAAACGTTGCTTCTTTCAAATGATTTGATAAAGCAGAGTCCAATTCAGCTGTAAAATCAATCAGGCCTCGAAATATACCTAAATTTTGTGATCCCCTACTTCTGTCATGTCCACGTAAAGCATGTTCAAACACTCCACAAAAATTTATGCGATTATCAATCGACGTAATATATGGCGATTTTTGTCGACCCTTGCGTTATGTGCCCGAATATTATTAATATAGGCGGTGTGTAGTTGTTTCCGAATGTCTGTCCGACTATTACCGAGAGGATTATCCAAGAATATTTTATCATACGTGTTCGCGCAGAATAAAAATTAAAACCCGCGATAGTGACTCAATCTACTGCCGAGCACGGTCAGAACGGGCCCCCAGTTCAGTTTTATCAGACGGCTACGACGTGTGGTTTCCACGGCAACGGTGTAAACAAAACATCTAAATCAGCTATGATTCGGTCTCTGTGGTCTCTGTGTCCAGGTCAGCAATAACATATCATATATCCAAGACACACATCTTTAGATGTAAGTGGATGTTAGTTTTTATACATTTTATACAAGTGGAGCGAGATAAAAAAATCAGTTTTGAAAATTATGACACAAATTTCCGGATAATTTTTTAAATATTGAAAATTATTATTTTACCATGTCCAGTGTGTTTGTAGACGTTGTAATTTTGGGGGGGCCACGTGCCCTTGTGCCCCCCGGCACCAGCCGCCCCTGGCCATTTCAGGAGTATCAGGTCATAACTAGACAGCGGATTTCTGTCGGGCTACGTCACGATTATAGGTGGAGACGCGCTGCATCGCCGGGACTCAGTAGCGGGTGATAGGTAATCACTGAATTTAATTGTCATTTGATTTCATGAATACAATTAACGATTTATTAATCAAACGGCTAAGTAAATGAGAACTGGAATTAACAGCAGAGTGCAACGAAGCAGCGTTATTCTAATCTCAAATAAACGAAGTACAGCCGGTAACTGCAATGAATTCCCATCCCGAACGAGCCGTACCGAGTTTGGCCTTGTCTAGCCCGACAGAAATCCGCTCCCTAGTCATAACACACTCGGCGGATGAATCAGCTTCGTTCACGCGTCGACCGTCGCAACGAGTCTTTAACCACAGCTTTAACCAATTTCAAAGTTTTTAAGGGTTATTATTATTTTTTTGTATCAGGAGTTTCAAGTATTAATACTTGTATTTAATTTTACAAACGCCTTTTTAAAATCATTAAAATTTACTAATTTACCTTTCTAATATAAGAAAAACACAATATAGTATTAAATCGTTTATTTCTATAAAAGAATGAAAAATGTTTGTTCCATATAAAAACCACAGTCATAAAAATTAAAAGCCAACTAGGACAAATCTCAAAATAAAACACTTTGCATATGAAACACTGGGTACACAAAGGAAATGGAACTTGAATGTCCTCTAAATGAAAAATAAACATAATGAAAATGAGATATGACTAGAAACTGGACGTTTTTAAAAAACTGTACTTAGAATAAAACAAAACATCTAACACCTTTCATTCTTAATCGCTGGATTAAGATCACTGAAATATGCATGTGCCATCGCATCATCCGCAGACATTCGTCCCATAGGGTTACAAACCAGCAATCTTTGCAAAAGGTCTCTTCCCCTATTCCCCAGTTTAGGTACAACCTAAAATTTAATACCAATTTTAATTACAAAAATCAAACCATATATTTTAATTTTTACCTGCGACAAACTCATATTAGGTTGATACAGAGGAAATGGTTTGTAGTCTGGTAGTTGAGACATGCCACTCCATGTTTCCTCTGTGGGAGTCCCTAATAACTTGAATATTCGTCGCAACTGGTCGTCCACGTCAGACCCAGGAAATAAAGGTCGTCCTGTGTGATAAATTCTTTAAATTAAAATAACAAAAATTAGAACAAGTGAAACCACAGAGTGTACCTGCGTTTGCCAACTCAGCAAATATGCACCCTGCCGACCACATATCGATCGAAGTTGTATATAACTTGGCCCCAAATAGCACATCTGGCGGCCGATACCACAAAGTGACCACCTCAGCAGAGTAACACTTCACCGGGATCCCGAAAGCCCTCGCCAGCCCGAAATCGGCCAGCTTTAACTCTCCATTCTTATTAATGAGCAGATTTTGCGGTTTCAAGTCTCTGTGTAGCACGTTGTGACTGTGGCAGAACGCTAAGCCGCGTAACAACTGGTACATGAAGGATTTCACTACATCTAAGTCTATATCACCGTTCAAGCTATCAAAGTACTTCTTCAAATCTTGATCACAATGTTCGAAAACCAGTGTCAGTTTTTTGTCACTGTGTAACACGTCGTATAGTCTGACGATGTTCTTGTGTTTTAGCTCCTTAAGTAAGCAGATTTCGCGTAGCGCTGACGAGGGGACCCCCTCGTCGTCGTCGTCCAGTCTCACGCGTTTAAGGGCCACGATTTCGTGACTTTCCCGGTTTTTCGCTTTGAATACCGTACCATATGTGCCTTCGCCGATTTTTTCCAGTTTTTCATATTTCTGCATAGCGAAAACGCTATCACTAACTTAAGTTATACACTAAGACTAAATTTTAGTCAAGACTTAAGGTTATGTCCGTTATGTTTACTTGTGGACATTGACACTGACAGCAAAGGAAATGTTACCGGTGTGGGGAATTTGCGCATTTCATGATGGCACTGCTGATCTTTCCCAAAGTGCTTTTTGTTTTAAAAATGAAGTCAATGCGATTTATCGCACGTGTAGATTGTAAATTAGTTCAAAACAACAATTTGGGTTAATTTTAAGAATAAAAAAAATATCTTATTCGTGAGTCTTCAGAAGCGCTCTAGGGACTTTTTTGGATTGGCGACAACGTCATCGCCGACTTGTCAAATTCTGACACGCTGTCACTTTTTGGTATCGTTCCGAAATTTTAATTAACTTTTTCAATAAAAAATGCCTCAAATAGGTTCCGTAATTTCTAAATTCTATACGGAATATAATACAAAAACTCCGAAGAAACTTAAAGTTATCGATGCGTATTTATTGTATATTTTGCTTACCGGTATCGTGCAGTTTGTTTATTGCTGCCTTGTGGGCACATTTCCTTTCAATTCCTTCTTGAGTGGGTTTATTTCTTGTGTTAGTAGCTTCGTTTTAGCAGGTGAGATATTGGATTTGGTTTTTTGAAGATGTGGCTAATGATACGTTGGTCTGTTTCAGTATGTCTTCGGCTGCAGGTCAATCCAGAAAATAAAAGCCAGTTTTCTGGAATCAGTCCAGAAAGAGGATTTGCTGACTTTATTTTTGCTCACGTTGTGTTGCATTTAGTTGTAATGAATTTCATTGGATAAATTTGTGAAATTTGTTTTGATTTTTGTATTAAGTTGTAATTAAATAAATGGTTAAACGATACAAGTGTTAACAAAAGTTACATAAAGGGAATTTGTGAGGTAGTCTAAACGCTTCAGCAGAGAAGCTCAATATACTGTGAATTTGTTGGAAGTTATTTAAAAATTATAAAACTATAAAATACATGCTTAAATAAACTTTACAGTAATTAAGAATATAAACTGTTACGTTTTTTGTTTGATATCATATTATTTTTGGAGAAAAAGAAAAAAAAACCAAATAAGTAATTTTTGTAATTTTATGTTTTAAAGATTTTATTTCCACAAAAAATATCGTTGTTTAACCTCTTAGAAATGAGCTTTAAATTAACCTGAAATGTATATTTACAAAAAAATCTGTATGGAATATACACAGGGTGAGTCATTAAGAGCATGTTAATTTTTTAGTGTAAAATCTACCCAACCCAATGGACAACAGATACTTGTCTAAAATTATTTATACTTAAGGCTCCGCCACACAGTCATTAAAAGATGCCATAATAAGGCAAAACGCCAACCCATTTTGCACCTTTATTTTAACAGTTGAAGAGCAGGGCGATACATGTGCGTGCTCATGACATACAAATCTTTAAGGAAGCGTCTTGTATTTTTTAAAAAACGTAGCAGTTTTTGAAATAAAAAATAAAGTGCGTAAAACCCCAGCGGATTTTTAGCGAAAACTATAACTCGGTGTGCTTTTAAAAAATATCGAGGTGATAGAGAATTTTTTTCTACTTTAGGCGCCACTCTTCGTTTTCTGTTAAAATTTTACTTCTTTTAGTTATTGTACAAAAACTGCAAAGCATTTTGGGCAAATTTTGCTAAGTTAGGCAACCCAAAATATTAGCTGAAGCGGTAAGCTGTAATTTATGGCCCACACAATAGAGCACCTTTTAAATACCTTAAGCTTATTTGACCACCCTTTGAAGTACCTGACAATAGCATTAAGAAGGATATATATATCTTTTAGTTATATGCACTGGACCCTGTTATACCTGATACATACCTATAGTTGTGGTTCGGGTTCAAACTAGGTAATTGTAATAACTGCATTTATTGAACAATAAATTAATGATTTTATTTTTAATAGCTCTTTAATATTTTTACTGCAAGCCGCATATGAACATTTAATCTCTGCAATTGAATTAGAATTTATTAACCCATCTGGGGAAGCTCCTAAAATTTTTTTTCAAATTTGTTAGAGCTTCAAATTTTTCTTTGGCCTTTTCTTCATTGTCAATAGCAAATTGTATAGACTTGGGCAATTTTTTCATAAAGTTTTATCGGAATGCACAATACTTTTAACGGTATTTGCGATGTTAATTCCGTCTCTCATTTTGTCCTTTCTTTACTCCATTCCCTACACATTCGCTGACCACAAGTACCTTTTTCAATAGCATTTACAGCTTTATTAATAAATCCGATTTTTTTCTTTCATACACTTCGTTTTCGTTTGTTCATCGTTGACGATATTATTTTTACGAGAATCCAGAATTCGGATACGCAATTTTTTAATAGAGGTTTTAGTTTTATTAATCGTTTTTGTTTTTTTCAATTTTTGTTCCACAAACGCCTTCGTATACTAACATTGGCCTCCCCATTTTTTTTTTTTTTTTGAATAACGGAATTAGGAACGTACCCTTATTATTATAACTTATTGCCGCAGCAAAGCATCGCCCTTGATACGATCCTCGTGCAGAAAAACTTATTCTTTTTCCTCCCACAAATTTATTAACGACAGAATTGTAGCATTCCGCAGCATTGTTCTCAATATCAAAAAGTAAACTAGACGACAAAGTTGCAACTCTATTTAAAACTTGTTTGTAAGGTTCGTATAAAATACTATTTGCGAAAGTAGAAAATAAAATATCATTTGACTGTCCACTTTTATAACAAAAAATAACTTGCACATTGTTCGTGATTGCCAAATATATGCTGGAAAAAAAGGAAGAGGCTTATTTTTGCTAAATTTAATAGCACTTATAATAGCTGTTCTAAATTTTAGAATACTATTTTTACAAACATTTTTAATAGTGATATCTGCTTTCGTTGTTTTAACTATTTCTCTAATTTTGGAACAATAATTACGAACTATGTGATTTCTACATTCAATTTTTTCGATAAAATAATATGCACCATATGGTTTTGCAGCCCGAACTTTTTTTAATACGCTACTATCCTCGTCGCCTATAATTCTCCTATAAAGTATCTAAAGTAAATCCCTCTAAGATAATTAAAGCTTCCATGGACATAGATGTTTGCTCCCAGTTTTTAAAACAGTTATGAGTTTGATTTTTTTTTTCTGTTTCATACAGATTTTACAGAAACTACAAAGTTTGTTTTTGACTCCAACATAAAGTATTTTTTTAGTTCTGGCACCAATTTTGCGTCCTACCCCAGCCAGTGCATTGTAATTGGATTTGTAAGAGCATTTGTTCCTAGCTCCATCGACAATAACGGTAATATATGGGACGCAATCATTATCTACCTCCCTCGCCTTCACAGCTAATCGGTACTCTTCTTTACCTGCGTTTTGGTTTGTTCTTCGAAAAGTGCTTCGATGCTCTTTAGAACTCTAACTTCGGCTTTACGATATGTCGCCTGGGGTATTTGAGGGATATCTAGAGCTGAACAAAATTTTGATATTTGAGAATAACCCACGCCCGTTGATCTAACTCCACAAATAGCTGCATAATTGACTTTGTATATATGATTTTCAGGTTCTGTACAAAAATTACCGAATATTCCGTACATATTACATTTGTAGTAGAAAACACGTTTTAAACCATAACAATTTTCGTAAGTTATTTCAATATTGTCTAAAGTACAGACCAACATATTATGACTGATTGATTTCAGTGTTGTTAATAAGTGGTCTATGTCAACAATTCTACGTCCAGTACTAATTTCTCGACGTGTCATGACCTCTAGAGTACGAAAGAAGTGGTCTCCCGTTTCCGTATGTCTGTATGTCTGTCTGTCCGTCTGTCTATCTGTCTATCTGTCTGTCTGGAGTCTGTATCCATTTTTTATTAGACAAGTGTTCTTCGAAACTACTGGATTTACCATATTTTATATGTATATTAGAAATATCATGCAGATGATTAAACGCTAACTAAAACTTGGCAAATCATCTCCACCACCAATGGGATGACGTCATCTCCAAAATTTATAATACAAAGTTTTTTAAATTTTATAAAATTAGATACTCCTGCACTTGTGGTGTGTAAATCCGTGTAGAATTTTCACCCTAGACATCTAGAATTTTTGGAAAAAATTTTAACTTATCCGGGTTCTCACAAAAAAATAAAATTTGCATAATCAAATTTTATAATTTTTCGAAAAAGCTGGGTTTGTTTTATTGTATTTCAGAGGCGAGAGAAGTTCTGTCGAAATAACCTTCGACCAATTTGCTTCATTCAAAATACATTCCGAGAGGTAACTAGGTATGTACCTCCCTAAATTTCTAAGATTTTGGGTTGAAAAATTCCAAGATTACTAAGAAATACTCACAATAACGTACCTTCGTACCTACAATAAAATATTCTTGGAAATTTAATTTCACTTTTCTACCTACTTACAGAATATGCCCAATGCGTACGAATTTTTATGGAAACAGGAATTTAAAAATAAGAGTAAGAATTATGGTCGGAATTATATACAGGGTGTTATTGAAAGGTACGTACAACAAAATGGACAGTTCTTCTCAAAGTCTAAGAAGTCGGAAAAACTTATTTTGTGTTATCAAAATTATAAGGGGAAAATTAACCCTTATCCAACCTTTTTAGACGCTACTGAAGGATAAATAGGTAAAATTAATTTATTTTAGTAAATTCTAGCAACTGTAACAATAAAACTTTTGGCAAGACTAAATGTTGCTATAGAAACGAAAGATGATCTTTTTATCAGAGGCGTACAACGAATTTGGACATATATTTTAATAATTTTTATCTCTAAAAGGAGAACACTTTCACCTGAACTTTTTTTTAACTTTTAGCACCCATACTTCGAGACCAATTACCGATTTTATTTTGTACGTACCTTTCAATAACAGGCTGTATATGAACAAGCATTTTTTTTGTTGTGTGTATTGCGAGTAAAGATCTCAACAGTCTCTGACAATGATTATATTAATTTATTTTAAAACACACATTTGGCTTTTTTCATTTCTTATGACAGTAAATTAGGTTAAACCGCATATCAAAAATTCTCTTTCAAGGGACTTTATGCTAAAATAAAAGTAGGAGGTGCTATTTAAAAAATTATCGATGACGTCATACACCTGTCAAATGTCGCTCAAAACTTTTGAAACTAATATTACAAAATGGCAATTTTTATATACCAGTAGACGTGTTTTTGCGTTTTTACTCTCGAACGTAAGCTAAGAAATATTGTTTGTTTTCTTTCATAGTAGATAAATATTTTAGTTCCTTACTCTGCTCTACCTGCAAGCCGGGATACACTTCCCCCGCTGACAATAGCAGTAATAAAACTAGTTATTGTAAACGAAGGTGAACGATTTTAACCCTTAGAGATGAGTGGCAGCTGTCATAACGAGGTAGCATGGGTGTTTTACAAGTTGCATATCTTTTAAAATAGAAATTTTCTTGAGGTGTGGTAGAGCCTTAACATCAAAACTGATTTTATTTTTTTTTTCATCAGTCATGAAAGTGATTATTGTTCAAAAAGCAAATGCTAGGAAACACCAAACGAATGAATTATGGATTATTTATTTAGTTTATACCTTGGTTAGAATTGTTACATCATTGATTTTTTTTTAATAATATTTTATACAAGATGATTTTGATTATTAAAAATCATACACCAAGCTGATTTTGTAATTTTACCGCGTCATGAGGAGTGAAGTATTCATCGTGTCACAGAGTCCATCATAATATGGTAGAATAGCCAATGATAGATATCTTGCAGTAACAAATGTTACAAAATTATCTTGATGTAGGTACCTATTATCTGATATCTTTTATATATTTTACGAGTATTTTAAGATGATGAAAAAATAAATAAAGCAAATGAAACAAATATTCTTAAATTAATTCGGTTATCGACAACTCTCGATAGTACCTACAGGCGAACTTTCAGAAGTCGAATCTGTAAGGGATTCTAAGTTAAAGAAACTTAAAAAAAAAGAAATAAAGTTTTGTTATTACGGTTATTTACAAATTAATGTATGTAAATTTAATTTTGTTGCCGTGTGTTATATATACAGTTGGTTATTAAACTTTGCCGCATAGGCTTTTTAGTACTTTTTCGTAATTTGTTTATGTTCAAAGACTGAAATGAAATCCGTGTTACCTTCCTTCCTCGTAAAAAAGAGTTTTAGGGTTTCAAATGCATTCTTCATTTGCAAGGCTTTCTCCTGTACTGGCTATACAATTTTCATCTTTACAGTGCGCAAATTGCAGCATTTTTAACCCGCAATCTGCAAGGCTGTTTTGGGAGTAGTTTTTACGGTTTCACCAAACGGGTTGAACTTTTGCATCAACAATCGTTGTACTGAGAAATAAGCAAATGTGGAGTTTTGACTTGTTTGGAGTACTTTTAACCCCCAGTCTGCAAGTTTGTTTTGGGGGTAGTTTTTACGGGTGTCACCGAACGGGTTGAAATTTTGTATCAACAACCTTCGTATTGATAAATAAGTATCTAAATGTCTAGTTTTGACTTGATCGGAGCATTTTTAACCCCCAGTCTGCAAATCTGTTTTGGGGGTGTTTTTTAAAGGTTTCTTCATACGGGCTGAAATTTTGCACCAAAAATCCTGGTATTCGAAAATAAACACAAATCGAATTTCGGGTCGATCGGAGTATTTTTAACTCGCAGTCTGCAAGTTTGTTTTGGGGGTAGTTTTTAAGGGTTTTTCCAAATACCCTAAAATTTGGTGTCAGCAGTTCTCGTGTCGAGAAAGGAAGATGAATCACATTAGGGCGCGGTTCGAACATTTTTAAGTGCCAGTCTGCAAAATAAACTGTGGTCTGCAAATTAGAAACGCCTTTCTACAGTTTCTGCAAATGTTAACGCTTTTTATTGATTGAAAATGGGACCATTTACAGGTAGATCATTGTTTCTTACAGACGACAAAACCAGTTGAAAACGGTTGTGTTCACACTTTTTCGTGGTTTATTTCGTTCAAATTTGGTGAGGTTGGGAATTTTTTCTACGAACTGCTCAAGAGATGCTCGGTTTGAGCATCGTGGATAATACTTGGTATTTCGTATTGCTGAGCAACGCTTTTCTTTTTCACACCACTTGACATACCTACACCTAGTAAAACTTTTATGACTTAAGCGGCTTAAGCCAAACAGCGAAACCACCCTTGTCAGTCAAACTGGCTATTGTAAGCTTTATGGACCCGAACCGCAAGGATTATTTATTACTGTCCCTTGTTGTCATAATGGAGTTGTAAAATTTTACGAGGTCACAAAATTTTGTTAAGGGAAAACTCATTTGGAACGTAGGCCTAGCACGATTCTTTACATTTACTTTATTAACTTTACATACATATCTTTACTTTAACTTTCATAAGGGTTCTCATAAAAAATGGAATTCCCATAATACAGTTTTATCATAATCTGGATTTGTTTTGTTGTATTTCAGGGGCGAGGAAAGTTCTGTCGAAATAACCTTTGGCCAATTTTTTTTGAAGCGTGAATTGGATTGAAATGCATGGGAAATACAGTTAAATACGAGTTATAGAGAAATTCGACTAATGGAGCTTGGAGTTATAGAAGTTCAACTGTACCAGATTTTTAAATGATGCTAAAGTTTGCAAATGGTGTACATACTACTTTATAGTAATCTGCAACAGTTGTGCTTAATAAACGCATTTCAACAAGTTAAATGTCACTAAATACATATTCTTAACGAATTTTTATTGGAAATATCTAAAGTTGGTATCAACTTCTCAGCAGTTAAATTATTATTTACAATTCTAATATTCTTCGTTGAATAACTTAGAATGTTGGATAAAAATTTATAAATGCGAAATATTTGATAAAGATCAGTTCATTTTTACACATTTTACATTTAGTACAAAATTTCCTCTAATTAACAACCCTCATTATATGTTTAACGATTGTTTCAGAATACGATAAAAACTAGACTAAAGCTATTTAGACAGAACTTTCCTCATCTCTGAAACATTCAAACAAGTCTAGTAACTTAGTAAATTATAAACATGTGTTGTTATTTTTTTGAGTTAACTCCTACACATTAAAATAAAAAAAAATAAACTGCACGTATATAGACGCATATCATTTTATAACTGTTAAGTAGTATTTACTTATTAAACTTTGAAGTCCACATTATCATTTTAGTGGGAAATTTTAATTAGCGATCTATGAGGCTAACTTCGAGGTAGGTATGTGGTAAATTTCCAAGATTACTTTATAGTGGCTATCAAACGATCTTGCTAAATTTTGGAGCACTTGCTTTGGTGGTTTCAAAGACAATTGTCTGATTTTAGGTGTTTTGTGTTATCAGTTTAGTCGTTTGAAAATGAGTAATAATGTGACATTTATTCATGTTACTGCTGTTAAAGTAAACATCGTCCACTGTTGTGGCAACAGTGTACTACCTACCTTGTATTTAAAACAGTAAGTAGATATAATTATTTGCATTTTACAGTAGTAGATATGTGATATATCGTCATTTTTAAGGTGTTTTTCGGTAATAAACTTGGTTAAAGCGTATTACTATAACAGTGAAGCGCCCCATTTCGTTTTCAATGATAAAACAACTTTCATAATATGGATCTTACCGATACTTTAACAACGTGACCATTTGTTTCCTGTTATATCATGAGTTCATCATATTACACAAGACTTTCCGAAAACCAGGAAACCAAAGTTCCTAATTATGGACTCAAGGTGACCTTAAATCATACTTATCCAGAGAATCGATCTCAAGGATATGTACCTGGTATACGACAAGCCTGGCCACTGTTGCCACAAGCTTTACGGTAACCTAGAGTGTTTGAGTGCTTTTTTTGGAAAATCAAGGTAATTTATTTTTGCAGATACACTTTCTATTATATTTTAGACTATATCAGAAAAAAACCTGTTGTTATGGATTTCATCTATCCTTTAAGATCTAAAAGGATATATGGTGAGTAATTCGTGGCAAGGACTAGCTATAAATAATGACGAAATCAGAAGTGTGGCGCTATTTTAGAGTATGCCAATGAGAGTGTCATGACCATGACATAGATTTGTTTTATTACTGTGACTTATTTCGTTATGATATAAGTCGACTTTTGCATTTTTAATCTCTTATCTTTCCTCTTTCACTTTATATATCATTCAGTTCTAGTTTCTTCTTCCTCTGTGTATTTGCTTCTATATTTTATGCGTTTGACATATATGTTTCACAATCTATGGTTCTACAGTATAGTCGTTAACTTTACAAGGCCAAGAACCTATTTATTATTTTATTTGCTTCTTGTACAAAGATGGTGTCTGTTACACCTTTGTAGGTGTACCAATTGGAGGCATTGGGTGCGGTACCATCGGAAGAGGATACAGAGGTGAATTTTGCAGATTCCAAATGCAACCAGGTGTCTACGAATATAATACAGTTGACGCAAACCAATTTATGGTTACCATTAAAGACAGCCACCAAGAGACAATCTTCCATAGCTTATTATCAACATTCCAGTACGTATTTTCACCTTTTTTTTTTAATTCTGATAACATTGTTTTTTAACAAGAAAGAAAAGCTTAAACACTTGGGAAAGTTTAATCGATGGTTCTAAATGCTTTTACACCGGATTATACCCCAGATCATGGACGGAGTACGATTTGTCCAAATTCGGAGTTTTACTAACTTGTAGGCAAATTAGCCCCATCATTCCTCACAACTACAAGGTAAACACATTTCTTTGGATATCAACAATATTTTTTCTTCTTTTGCAACAGGACAGTTCTTTACCGTGTACCATATTTGTGTGGGACATTCAAAACATTGGTCACGAAGAAAGAACCGTAACAATTGCATTCACTTTCAAGAATGGTGTGGGAAATAAACACAAAGACAGAGCTTGTAATTATCACTTTCAAAATTACTTCGCCAAAATGCTTTACATCTGTTGTAGCAACTTGCAGCTCCACAGACTTCGTTTTCGGTGAAGCAGAAGGCGTGATTCTTTCTCACACCATTGGAACGACGCCATGTTCTTATATTCTGTCAGCAAGGGCCAATCCTGACGTTAAAATTTCGAAATGTCTATACTTCGACCCAAATTCACCTGGAAGTGCACCTTGGTTCCAATTAAAAAATAATGGTTGTTTTGATACTAGAAGCAAGGAGGTTGAACACATTGTTGGAGAAATGGCTTGTGGCATTGCTACAAAAGCGTTAGTTCGTCCCGGTAGACCTGTTACTTGTGAAATGAGTTTGGTTTGGGACATGCCGGTGGTCCACTTTCCGAAGAAACTGAAGGAATATTCTAGATATTATACGAAGCACTTTGGCAAAGAAAATGCTGGGGTGAGGATTGTTCATTACGCTTTTGAGAATTATCCACGATGGGAACGGGAGATTTACAAGTGGCAGAGTGAAGTTCTCGAGGACAGGTATCTGTGCTTCTATTATATCTTCTTTTGATCATTATTATCTTCAGGGATTTGCCCGACTGGTATAAATCGGCGTTGTTTAACGAAACGTATTACGTGAGTGATGGTGGCAGCATTTGGGTAACTTTGGACAAAGGAGAAACCCAAAATTTACCCCAAACTGACCCAAGGTGAAGCATGATCTTTACATAACTCAAAAAGTATAAAGTCTTCTCCAGATTAGAATTTGGAAAATTTGCGCTTCTGGAGGGTCATGAATACAAAATGTACAATTCCTATGACGTACACTTTTATGGGTCCTTCGTGTTTGTTGTGAACTGGCCTCACTTGCAGTTCGTGGTGCAGTATGACATGCGAGATGCCATTTTTAATGAAATTCCAGATAAAAGAAAATCGTATGACGGTGAAGAATTTGAACGGAAGAAGTCTAACACGATACCACACGATATGGGCGAACCTGGTAAGTAATTTCGGCTACAACTGCTTGTATTATCCTGAAAATTAATAGGTGAAGAACCCTTCACTCTAATAAACTGTTATCCAACACACGACGTGAGTCATTGGAAGGACCTAAACTCCAAGTTTGTGTTGCAAGTGTTCAGAGATGCTTTCACGGGGTGTTTAGATGATGATTCTGTTCAGTACTTACGAGATATGTATGAAGCTTGTTGCGTATTGATGCACAGAAGTGAAAATTTTGACACAGATGGTGACGGGTTGATTGAGAATTCGGGAAATGGTGACCAAACTTACGACACTTGGTTTATGACAGGACCTAGGTAATATCTTGCTAGTTGTGGTACCTTTTTTTAACTACACTGTCTCAGTGCTTACTGTTGTGGTCTTTGGTTGGCTGCTCTTTTCGCGATGACCAAAATTGCCGAAGTGTTACACAAACCTGAAGACAAGAGGAGGTTTCAAATGTTACTGACTAAAGGCAAATTAGCTTTTGAGCAGAAGCTTTGGAATGGAAGGTACTACAATTTTGATTCTTCGACTGATGAGGGTTGCAGTATTATGGCGGATCAACTATGTGGTCACTGGTACTTAAGAAGCTGCGGTTTTGCACACGAGGTACTTGTTTTAATTAAAAATGGTTTGGTGGTGAACTTTTTTTTAGGTGTTTCCTCAAGGTCACGTTCGAAGTACCTTGAAAACAATTTTCGAAAATAACGTTCTGTCCTTTTGTAATGGCAAGATGGGGGCGGTTAACGGTTTTAAAAATGGTGCTGTTGATAAGTTCACGGTGCAGAGCGTGGAAGCATGGACTGGGGTCACTTATGCCTTAGCAGCGACAATGATTCAAGAGGTAAGTTGGACAAAATTTTGAGCAAATAAACAGCGCGGTTGCTTTAGGGTATGTGGGACGAAGGATTTCTTACAGCTGGTGGTATGTATAAGTCTATGACTGACCGTTTTGGACTTGCGTTTGAAACGCCTGAAGGGTTATATGCTACGGATTTTTATAGAGCTATAGGTTACATGAGACCGTTAAGTATATGGTCCATGCATTTAGCCATTAAGAGTTTTGAAAAAAATAAGAGAAAACAATGAGGACCAAAGCAAGGGTAGTTTGAATACATTTAACGTGTTACGTTTTTGTACATTAAGAATTGTAAAGAGTAAAACAGAGTTAGTTTTTATTCCTAGAGTTTTATAATTATTTATTACTCCTATTTTTTTACGCGTGGTTTATAAGTTATCTATGTACAGTAATGTACATGGTGAAAGGCAAATTCAAGCCACTAAAAAAATATTTGCATGAAAATCAGCTAATAAAATTTTTGTGCGTCTTAAATGTTGAAGAAAAGTTTGTGTTAGTGTGTGTTAAAAAAATTACTAATGTTAATTTAACACAATGATATGTGGGTGAAGAAAATCCTCTATATAGAGGGGCCTGTCTAATTTGCAGACCACAGTTTATCTTGCAGACTGGGGGTTAAAAATACTGCAATCAAGCCAAAACTCGACATTTGCTTATTTCTCAATACGAAGATTGTTGATAGAAAATTTCAACCCGTTCGGAGAAATCGTTAAAAACTACCCCCAAAACAAGCTTGCAGACTGGGGCTTAAAAATACTCTAATCAGGTCAAAATTTGACATTCGCTAGTTTTTCAATACGAGAATTATCGATACAAAATGTCAGTATATTAGAAAAAACCCTCAAAAATCACCCCTAAAACAACCTTGCAGACTGGAGGTTAAAAATGCTCCAATCAAGTCAAAACTCGACATTTGCTTATTTCTCAATACGAAGATTGTTGATACAAAATTTCAACCCGTTCGGAGAAATCGTTAAAAACTACCCCCAAAACAAGCTTGCAGACTGGGGCTTAAAAATACTCTAATCAGGTCAAAATTTGACATTCGCTAGTTTTTCAATACGAGAATTATCGATACAAAATGTCAGTATATTAGAAAAAACCCTCAAAAATCACCCCTAAAACAACCTTGCAGACTGGAGGTTAAAAATGCTCCAATCAAGTCAAAACTCGATATTTCTTAATTTCTCAATACGAAGATGGTAGATACAAAATTTCAACCCGTGCAGAGAAATCGTTAAAAACTACCCCCAAAACAACTTTACAGACTGGGGCTTAAAAATACTCTAATCAAGTCAAAATTTTATATTCGCTAGTCTCTCAATACGGGGATTATCGATACAAAATTTCACCCTATTTGAAGAAACCCTCAAAAACTACCCCCAAAACAACCTTGTAGACTGGGCCAAAAAAATATTATTACCAAATCGAAACTTAGTGTTTAGTTTTTATCTATACGAGAAGTGATAATGTAAAAAAAAAACAGCCTTGTTTAAGCTGCTCATCTTAACAAGTACCCCAAAGCAATTTTTCATAATGGAGCTTAAAAATACTCCAATTGAGTCGAAAGTTACCACTTGCTGAGTTCTTTACACAAAAAATTATCATGTTAAATTTTAGTCACCTTGAAGCAACTTATAACAATGATTGATAGTTCACATTCATTTAAAGTACAAGTAGCAGACAAATTTTAGACACATGTAAAGAGACAGTACATATTTCTAAAGTAGGTGCGCACCATAGAGGTAGAATGAGAGGAGGGAAGATAGTTTGAAAAAATGCCTGGTGCCGCGCTTTCTACTAGGGTCATAAATGGTTCTTCCAGGTCCTCCGAGAAACTGGTTGTTCCAGTGGCGTGCTCGAAAGCGTTTGCGGGATACTAGACATAAAACAAAACTAATTTCATAAGAAAGCATATAAAAGCAGCAGCAGCAAATTTACTTGAGTTTTTAATTGGTTAAGATTCGTTGCTACGGTCGTCGTGTTATCTCCATCTTCGCGCAAAGCGAGCTAATTCCTACAACAACTGCGGCATCACCTAATGATCTTAATATGCATTGTTAATTATGAAAAATATTGTTTTGTTACCTTTTATAACTTTATTTTAATGCATATACACTGACCGGCAAAAACCGGCCACCCTGAAAAATTTCGCAAAACCAAACTTTAAAAATTATTAATTTAACTAGTGAACGTTATTTCATTAAAGAACTATTCACTATTGACACATTGACACATTGACATGATATATAAATTAGCAAAAAAAAAGACAAATAAACACAGAATTAAATTAAATTTAACAAAATAACAGAAACAGAGCGACAATTTGAGAGACAGCAAAAGAGCTAAATGTTCAAAACATACAGCATCGCAGTTAGAGAGAATTCTCAGATGTTGCCGACTATTGAGAATTCATCATTTTTTCGACAATCGTGTGGTTGTGCTGGGCGATGAACGTTTGCCTATTTAGAGATGGAAGGATGGATTTTATACAAACAATATAGAAGAAATTACAAATAAAATTAAGTCGAAGACAAAGTTCAGCACCATTCATTGGCCGTATTAGAAGTGACGCGGTCAATACATAACAATATGTATATGGGAACACCATAATAACGACGATGTAATATTTTGGCCAGATTTAGCAAGATGCCATTATACTACAATGTCCATTGGGATTGGTTAGAAAGAAATAATATAAATTTTGTATCTAAGATAATCCCCCCATAGTGGCTCCCGTGCGAACAATCGAAAACAAAATTTGGGCAATACTAAGTAGAAAGGTTTACAACAACGGCTGGGAAGCCTATTTAGAAGAACAAATTTCCAGAAAGTTAGAGAAATGGACGTGGACACCATCCAAAGGCTGTAAGACCTACATATGAAGACAATTTTGGGTCGTATTGAATATAACGGATCTTTATCTGTTTTCCCATTAATAATAATTAATTAAGAAATTTGCACTTTTCTAGGTTCTTTTTGAAATTCAAATAAAATTAAGTTTGAGCTTCTTATTATTACTTTAAACTTTCTCTCAAAACGTTTTTTTTTACGTTAGGTTTCTCAGAAATTAAAAATGTCTCTAATTTTCTTTAAAATATCTTTGAGATTTTGTTTCCTATGAATTTTAAATTTTCTCTTCTGGACACCACTTTGTATTTTTTGACTGATGATGAAAGTTTAATTATACGTCAAAGAACTCAAAACCAGCATATAGTAGGTATGTACTCAATGAACCAAGTTATACTATCCTCAAACATATTTGGCGTTTATGACTTCACACCAATTTGACTCCCATTATAATTCAATAGGCCGTCACAACCGGATGTCTTAAACCCGCTCACCGATACCTACCTGAAAAGACCTTTTCGACGTGCCAGGGACGGTCGAGACGCGAAGGACCGGACTCAGAGTAATTTTGTTTGTTAAAATTTTCAAATTTCAAAATTTCCTTACAGAACATGATTTATACTTTGAAGAAAATTACACAAAGACACAATTATTAGAAGTGTTACACACTCGAAAATTTGAGAAACAATATAAAATAGATGCTATGGCGCGAGATCGTGGATTTAGGGTGATTAGACTTCCGCCGTACCATTGTATATTTAACCCCATCGAACTAATCTGGTCGCAAATGAAAAATAATATAAGAAGGAATAATACGGCACCAAAATTTAGTAGTGCAACAATTGACATAATTAGGGAAGAAGCTTCTAAAATAACTGCCGAAATGTGGGCCAATTGTGTACGACATTCCACAAAAGAAGAAGACCAGTACAGGGCACGGTTGATAACACCGTTAATTATTAATTTAGAAGAGTCGAGTGATGATGACAGTGACTATTTCGATCAATAAATAAGCAGTAGTAGTTAATAAGTAAATAGTTGTGCTGTAATAAAAAATGATTGAGTACAAAGTTACTTTGTTTTTACTTAAAATAAAAAACTCGAAAGGCGCAGTTGTCGGTAAATGCAAAACTCAGTCCTGCCCTGTTCTTTTACCAGAAAAGGTCTTTTCAGGTAGGTATCGGTGAGCGGGTTTAAGACATCCGGTTGTGACGGCCTATTGAATTATAATGGGAGTCAAATTGGTGTGAAGTCATAAACGCCAAATATGTTTGAGGATAGTATAACAGCAAAAATGACGTGTACAAACACACCCTAAAATGAGAGACTGGACGAAAAAATGCCGAACTTATGCATTCTTACATAGTAGCAACTGATTATTATTATTATCTAACAGTGATAAACATGAACTCAAATTATCGCAATTCACGTATCTATAACAAATACTCCTATATTCGTAATTTATATATTTTTTAAATTTAAATATTAATAAATTAATTAATAATTAACAATAAAATAATAAAAAAATAAATTAAAAAAACTAAATTAAATTTAAATAATAAAATAATTTTTTGAAGTGATTCGTTACGGACCCTGAGCTTTTAGGGCGATCGCCGGGTAGCCGGGCGAGTCAGTTCGACGCTGTTTTAATCCCTAGTCTGTTTCTTTTAAGGATTTCTCCGAATGTATTGAAATTTTTGTATCAACAATCCTCGTTTTGATAAATAAGAAAATGTCGAGTTTTGACTTGACTGGAGTATTTTTAACCCCTATTCTCCGAAGAGGGGGAAATTTTCCATCAATAATCCCCGATTTGAAAAACTAGCGAATGTCAAATTTTGACTTGATTCGAGGATTTTTAGGCTCCAGTGTGCAAGTTTGTTGTGGAGGTAGTTTTTAACGGTTTCTCCGAACGGATTGAAATTTTGAATCAACAATCTTGGTATTGAGAAATAAGCAAATATCGAGTTTTAACTTGATTGAAGCAGTTTTAACCCCCAGTCTGCAAGGTTGTTTTGGGGGTGATTTTTGTGGGTTTCTCGGAATGGGGTGAAATTTTGCATCAATAATCCTCGTATTGAAAAACTAGCGAATGTCAAAATTTAACTTGATTAGAGTATTTTTAAGTGCCAGTCTGCAAGGTTATTTTGGGGGTAGTTTTTAACGGTTTCTCCGATCGAGTTGAAATTTTGTGTCAATAATCTTCGTATTGAGAAATAAGCAAATGTTGAGTTTCAACTTGATTAGAGTATTTTTAAGCCCCAGTCTGCAAGGTTGTTTTGGAGGTAGTTTTTAACGGTTTCTCCGAACGGGTTGAAATTTTGTATCAACAATCTTCGTATTGAGAAATAAGCAAATGTCGAGTTCTAACGTCATTGGAGCATTTTTAACCCCCAGTCTGCAAGATAAACTGTGGTCTGCAAATTAGAAACGCCTGTTCTAAGGTAAGTACAACTGAACATAAGTTTCATGTTCTCATGGTTTTATTTTTGTAGCTCGGATTCAGATGATCGCAGTTCAAGTGGTGCGGATAGTGTATTACAGTAGTGGATTATTTGTTATACATACATCAATTTGGCTGAATAAATAATTTTTGTGTTCATAGCTCAGAAGAAAGTTATTTTCTCGATCTCGTTAGAACGTTAGATAAACTATCTGATTTTAATTTAGTAATAAATAGTTTTTATATCAATTTTACAGACAGGGTGTTTTATCCTCTCAGAAAAATCTATCAATTTTCGTTTAAAATCTACATGAGTTTGTATAGCATATGTTCTACCTAATAAAAATAGGACAGAATTTCTAATATTTTAACTGTTGTGCTTAACGGGGTCATAAGTCATTTTTAATATAATCTTGTCCGGATTTGTTTGGACGAAACGTGTCCCAATAGAAAAACAGAGCAAAAAAGCGAATTTTAACTTTTCTTAAAATCAGGGAAAAATGCTAAATAAACAAAGTGTTCTGAAGGGGTCTACTAGTACAAAATTCAAAATTCTTAATAAATACTGTTTTGACATCAATTTTCTGGAGGGGGTGTTTTACCCTGTTGTGATAACCCAAACTTCCCGCCTCTAAATTTGACCTTGAAAAAGTTTGAAAGGCCCGCGAAAAATTTAAAAATTCAAAGTTTGGCCTTGGCTGTGATCGTCTAACAAATAGGAACCTACGTTGTGTGTTTGTTTTTTGTTTTTGAAAAATGGCGGGAAGACGTTCTTTCATACAAGTGCATACACTGTCGAGAGCGCAAGAAATAATAGACAAAATTAGGTAGGTCAAAAGCCTTCCTAAGGAGGAAAAAGGAACGAAGAACGACAGGGCCTCAACTTGCGCTTCTGACGACTCCGCAGGGTCAAGGCGTCATCGGTCTTCATTCCCCAAAACCCCCTGGGGTTTTTACGTCCGTTTGTTGGACATTACGTCTCATTATTTTCATTAGTAGTTGCACACATATTTCAGTAGCATTTCTTGGACTTACCCCAGAAGTTCAGATCACCGCCGACATGTTACATTTCAAACACCTTAAGATATATGAAGGAAAAACACTCGCGAATTGACATACACATGAAAAACGAACAAACGGAAAATTCTATACATCTGTTTGGGATCAATGCAAATATTTGAATATCACAAATTTAATAAACCAAAGCAAAAGCTGAATCAAGTAACTGGATGCAAATACACAAGTTATTACAGGCGTGTGGCGATCGAACAAAATATATCACAAAATATATCAATTTCATTTACGAGCACAACAAAATACCCAGAGGGGGCGTCGTAGCGTGAGCGAAGTTTGGAGCTCCCGGTCTGGGCTGGTTTCCCCCGCGATGGTGATTCTATCTACACCAAGCCTGCCGCACAGCACCCCTCCATGACGAACATGCCGTCCTAGCAGGCCGTTTCGGCCGAAAAACTAGAGGTGAAGTCCGGTCGACAACTACTTCGTCCTCCAGACCGTTCCCACTGAAATCTTGTTCAAAGCCTGCACATCTTGTGCAGATAGCGCGATACATTCCGCTACCTCAACTAGGAACCGCGCCCATCGCCGACACTACGTGTCATTGTGTTATTTACCTCTATGACTCTAATATTAAATTACAACCGAACAAATGTTAAAGTTTCAAAGAGCAATAAACAACACTTAAATTCGCCATACAATCTTGTGAAATTTTAAACAACAAATAATTCTTATGTGGGATTAAAGTTGGACATCAAATAATTTATATGATAGAAACATTCATCAACAAAGTATTTACAAAACAAAACTTAGCAAGGATTTATGAAACAGAAGATCTGGTGTGAAATAAACTTGTACAAATAGAAATATTATGTGAGGTTAAAACTGTCGAACATGAAATTTACGTTCAATTAAAATTATACAACAAATAAAATTACTGAGGTTAAAATTAAGAGGTTAAGAAATATAATATGAGGTGGAAAATTGCAGAGTCAACAAAATTTACAGGAGATTAATATTTGCCACACTTTATCAACGGTTCAAACAAAGAGTTTACATTATGCCAAATTATATCATGATCTAAGTGATTGGTTACTTCAAAAATAATTTACTTTGAAAGTTTAAAATACCACGAACTGGTTACCCCAACAAAACACATAATAAACAAACACAAAAACATCGAATCATCGCTCCGAGGAAAAAGCGTCTCGGGGATGTAAATTTCAAAATCGTTGCGAGGAAAAAGCGTCTCGGTGATGTAAATTCCAAAATCGTTGCGAGGAAAAAGCGTCTCGGTGATGTAAATTTTCTGTAGCGTTGGGGGCATGCCTTGATTAATTAATCAATCTGGCGTTGTGAAGCATGCCCCGATGAATTAATCATGATAACGACGATAACCACCTAAGGGGAGAAAATATCATAACCCCCCCGCCAGTTCGCAGTATAATGAACTTGTTTAACTGCCGTAAATGAACTATTAGCAATCTTGTGTGAAGAATTTAGAAGTGTTATAATGTAACACTTACGTATATGCATCCAGAGACCTATTCGTAATTAAACATAAGGTGTTTTTCCTGACTAAGTGAATTTCATGAAATCTTCTAGCAAATGGTTTATTTAAATAATCCTGATCGTTAAATTGTGTTTGCTCTAGCTGAGTATTAAGAAAAACTAGCTTGATTGGTGAATTTACAAACAAAGAAACAAATTTTCCAGCACGTGTTCGCGTTTCTCTGTTTAAAAGGGCGCAAGAATTAACCGCGCGGGTTGGGGACAACTGTATCATTATGAAAATTACGATTGATTGCCGTTAAACAAAGGCTTCCTCCAATTTTATTACCTACCAAACCAACTAATTTAAAACTAGCGCTTACCACGTGGTTACACACTCACACCAGCACATTCCGAATGAACCATTCTACGCCATGCAGCTTCCCTCTACCAACCCTCTAACTGAAATCACCCTAGCGCTACGTGCTACCATCTAACTCAATGATCATGCAAACTAACCCCTAAGCGCTACGTGGATTAGACCACACATGCATATTTGGTTGCCTATGTTTAAGGATCTCATTTTCGTGATTGAACTTTTTTTTTCAAATTCAAATTATTCAAATGTGATTTCGCGCCGTTGTTAATTAATTTCAGCGCGAAAACTTTGATTTAAATTCGGTCACCACATTGTCTGGAAAATCTTTCAATTTTCTTTTTAAATCGCCATCTATATGAATTTGTATAGTATACCTTCTACCTTATAAAATTAGGACTAAATCATTCAAGTATTTGCATTTGAAATAGACCTTTAAAAAACAAGACAAAATTGTTAAAGAAACAAAGTGTTCTGAAGGGGCCTACTAGTACAAAATTCAAAAACAGGGTAAAGTCTTTGAAAAATGTTAATTTTAAAATATACATTAAAAACAGGGCAAAATTCTTAATTTTAAGTGTTTTTAAAAGGGGAATTTGTTTGGCCAAAATCATGTTCATATGTGTGCTGAAGTGGCCTAACAAAAAAACGGTAAAAAGGCGAATTTTAAGAGTTTTTAAATGGTAATTTTTCTTGGCCGAAACCGTATTTACGTTTGATTAAACAGGATATGTTTCTTAAAATTTTGACTTTTTTAAAAAAGGGTGACTTCGAAAACCCGGGCAATTTCTTTAAAAATTTTAACTTTTCAAAAGTTACTTTGAAAACCAGGCTAAAAGCATTAAAAATGTGTTGTGTTCTGAGGGGGCCTGTATAGTCGTTACATACCAAACCGCAAAAAGCAGGAAGTGGGTGGACCTTCAAAAATTTACCTCCTTTGCGTTTTATAGTCCTTCTATCCCATACCAAGAATGGCATTCGTCCACTTTCCTAAACGCACTAAAACATGGATGGTTGCTTACTTCAATCAATGTTTTTTTTTGTATAATTTAATTTTTCAAATGCGGTTTTGAGGTGTTTTTTTTCTCAGCGCGGAATTTAAATTTCAAATTTAGATCACCACAACAATTTTCTTATTTTTCAAAATTATAAATTTTTTCACTGTTAACTTACAATAGTTTTTGTTATTAGCCGACTATTTATAACTATAAATAAACGAACTTCAAAAATAATGATAAGACACACATAGTATCAACATATCATCAACCAATTTTTTTGTTTTTGAAAACATTTAGATCTTGGTCATATTGCGATTTTGACAACAAATATGAATCAATCGTTATTACCTGATTAGACACAATATGAAGAATTATCTTTAGAACTGATGAAGAAGTTTCAGGTTATTGGATGGACACAATCGTTGTCTTTGGACAGAAACGTGCTTTAGAGGCATACAGTTTATAATACATATTTAGAATGTTTGCAAAACATGCAAGTAATACATATACATCTTTGCAGAACCTTTGACCTTAATCTATTTTTCGAATTTCATTGGGAAGTACAGCATGCTCATATAAATCCCGTACAACCCATGGAGGTAGAATGAAAGGAGGGAAGACAGTTTGAAAATGCGCCTGATACCCGCTTTCGACTGGGATCATAAATCCCTCTTCCAGCTCCTCCGAGAAACTGGTTGTTCCAGCGGCTTGCTCGAAAGCGTTTGTCGAGAGGTTGGACATGCGATACAAAAATTAACATGTAGCAAGTTAATGACATTGATTAAGTACATATGTATTGTATTTAATTGATGGTAAAGATCATGAATGGGTAAGGTTCAAATTCTACTATTTGCTACCTGTGAACCCATTCATAACCAAAGTGCATCGTCTCTGATCCTGTGTTGACAACCGACCGTTTCCGATGAAGTACGGAAAGGGTCATAAATGGCTCTTGCGTGGATCTCTTTTGCCGACGTTTCGTTGACATTGGTTAAATGAGACATGCTCTCTCCTCTCATCCTACCTCCACGGTACAATTTCGCTTTTGCGTTGTGTCAAAATCATTACAAAATCATTAGCATGAATACAAATTCACTTTGTCATCTGAATGGGATTTATCTGAGCACAACTGTACATATGTAACACGGTCTACGGACAATAGGTTAATTTTGTGCTTTTTCATAGATCCGACAATATAAAAAAGTAGGTTTTCCTTTTCTATCTGTGTGTTGGTGACAGTGTTTAACAAAAATTAATCTTCGAAAGTATGTATTAACAAATTATGGTCTAATTCCAGCTCTTTTCAGATTAGCGTGGTCGTGGTGATACAGGAAATAGTTTGATATAAAGTAGGTACTTAATAAAAAAATAAACGTAAAAACGTCCAGACTTGCGAATTCAAGGGGATGAAACCGAAACAGTATTCTGTATTGTCTTTCCTTGTTGTATCAATCCTTTTCAAATTGATTGAATTTTCGATTTTCCATATTTTCAGAATGCATGAAACATCACTGTTCAAAACCTAAGTGACCAATTGTGATGATTCAATATGTTCTTCCCATTATATTTGCATTTTAATAGCGCCAGTTCATATTGTGTTGGTTTCTTATGGTTTGTAGAAAAAATCTTATATTAAAAAAAAGTTGTTAAGATCTTTGCAATGTACGCAAGTGCAGTGGTGGTGAAACCCCCCCCCCCCCCCCCCAACTACTTTTAAAATTATTCTCAGACTTGTAACAGAACCGTTAAGGTGACAAATTGTATGGGTAGTGTCTCGCTAGTGCAAATTAAATACTTCTTCATTTATTATCACACAGTGTTTTTTATTTTATAGTCCTTCGAAGCTATCATCATTTTATCTCTGAGCTCTCGAACAAAAGTATTATGCCTAAAAGACAAATGATGCCGTGAAAATTTTGCAAAATAAAACATACTTAATTTTTACTTATGTACTTGTAGTGGATTAATCTGCCCTTATTTTTTACCTTTTCTTAGCTTCTAAACAACACTATTTTACAATTTAATTTAAAAACTGTAACCTATTACTTTGAAATCTTGCATACAGTTAAGGTTATAGTAGTAAACACAATAAATACTGTGTCGTAAATATGGTAAATCGCTAATGCTAATCAGGCATTGTTTTGTTTATCCTTTTCAAGACTGAAAGGGCCTTTGAGAGTATTCGTGTTTTATTTATGAAAGAATATTTGGGCTTCTAGTATCTAGTTTTAAAGAATATGGGAAAATCTTCGGGATTCCTTGTGTTTTGTTTTTCAAAGAATCTTAGGGGTTCCTACTGTATTATTTGGTAGATAATCTAAAATAATCTTTGAAGTACCGTATGTTTTTGTAGCAGGCGAAAAATGACTTATTTTTGGAGATGTCAATAATAGTCCGAACCACGGCCGTATATAACAGGTCTGCGAACTCCCAGTTTAAAATGGTCTTTTTTGGAAGAGATCCCAGGAGGCCACGGGAACTTAAAGTTCCTAGCGCCGTCTACTGGACACTATGATGAAACTATTCACAAAGGTCGACCAATAATGAATGAAATTTGCGTAAAACTGTCCTTGAATGCAAGTTGTCAAAAATGTCAGCTTTATAGGTTAAGTTTTGTGACGTCTTTTTGAAATATGAGGGGGAATATACGTCAAATGTCATGTCAAACATCAGTTGATAGTGCAAATAGTACAATTAACTACCGCATGGTGGCGGTCATCTTAAGCTCCCACTAAAGTCACTAGATATTATACCGCAATTGGGCGCCATATTGTGTCCGCGCCAAATTCAAAATAAATAAATAAAAATTAACGGACTCGATACTTGCGTACAAAGCGTAAATGTAGATTTTTTTCAAATAAACATTTATTTATGTTTAAGCGTTATTCCTTGAAGACGTTGTTGTATGGTCCTAATGCTCGGATATGGCAATTTCTGCCGTCGTATTTCTTCATAACCCTTCGCGCCACAAGCTAAATACAATTTCAGTGCTTTTGTCATTGTATCTTCTGACCATAGTTGATCTCTGGCAGTGCCAGTCTGAATAAATTGAATTTGATCCTCGTTTAATGTCCCTTGTAAATTATTGACACAATTTTCCAGTGCCTTTTTATATTTATTGCGCTCCCGTAAAGCTTTTCTCAAAGCGTTACGTAAATTTTCGATCAACGTTTGAGATTCTTCCACTATGTTGGTTTGGTCCAATAACGGGTCCACTTCAGGGAAACAACCAACATTTACATTTTCATTGTTGCTACAGCTTTCAAGTTCAAAAATTTCATTTTCCCTAGCAGTTGTCAAAGGAGTACAGCCGTCCATTAAAACACAAGCACCAACATTTTTATTTAATACATCTGGAACAGCATTCGGCCGCAACAGTTTCCTTCCATCTGCTCGCTTTGCTTCAAATTGTTGTTCAGAAAAATGTAACTAAAAGTAAATATATTTAACATTGTGCAATTACATATTCAAGGTTTAAACAAATTACTTCGCAAATTCTGGAATTGTCGTTCAAATCGTCCCGGCCTATTAAATTCTCCCACATCTCTCTTCTAGCCCTATTACTAACACCTGCAACAATTTAAATTAGTTGAAAAAACTCAATTGAAAACTCAGTTGTAACCTACCTGTTGGAAGACGAAACAATCGGCTTTTATTTCCACACAAAGGAACACAACAACTTGGCATTTTAAAATAAAAGTTATAAAATACCACAAAAAAAAACACAAACAACTTTACAAAAAACACAAACAACTTTACAAAACAGGACTTACGCCACGAGGTGATGCGTTAAAGAGAGTTTCACAATTAACTTTGACGTTTGTCGGTCGCCATATTGTGTCCGAAATACACGTTCTCTCTCTAACACATTGAAACATTCAATTGCGTTACTTTGGTTATCTAGGGACTTTAGCTCCCACAACCTACTACGATACCGGTTTTTAAGCGCCCGTTTTATGAAAATTTATGAATGGAGTTGAAACACCTTACTTATACCACCGTGGTCCGAACAATAATACTCATTGTCGTAAAAATCAAGGTTGTACTTCATACCATGTTAATCAAGGTTTATAATTTCACAGTTAAATATTGGCCCCACTTGACTGAGCACGATGTCTTTGTCCAGTTTTATAGTTTCATAGTTTAAATTTGTTAATATTAGCAAAAACACATTTAGCCAATAAAAATATTCATTTTAAAGTTAATTAAGTAAGCCTAATTTGGTGGAAGCACAAATACTTTTATGACACCACAAATAAACTGGTAACTAGTAAAACAATAAACATAGTAAGTATAAACAACTTTGCAAAAACAACTTTTTTGGAGGGGTCTTTACTTATAAAAGACAATAAAAGATTCATTAAAGGTTAGAGTCCCCTAACCAGCTACCAGTTCAGAGTGTGTGTTTGTGTTGATATCTCCAAAAATCTGCATGATTTCATAAAGTGTTTACATTTTTGTTTTTACTTTCAAAGTTGAGTTTAATTTTGATTATAAATCGCCTTACTTGTATTCTCGAATGGATAACGTTTTGAGTTTCATATTTTTCAAGATTGATTTGCATTTAAATTATTGGTTAAACGCTAATGTTGTTTGATGAACCTGACACACATACTACGGTGGGTATTCCTTACCATTTTTGAGTTATGTTATATTTTTCTTTAAAATTTCTTTATGTTTGTTTTTTCTATTCATTCAAAAATTTGGTTTCATATTTACAAAGTTTTCTTAAATTTACCTTAATGATTTAATAATGAAGTTCATCTCTATACTTTATATAAAATTTTTATGTTTAAACTACGCTGAAAATGTTATACCAAAAAGTAAAAAGAGTCGTTTCTAAATTAAATATAATTAAAATTATTTATTCAAGTAAAATGCATATACTTGAAATATTTCCTATGTCCAGTCATTAGAATGTGCTAAGTACCATTCTAATATTTTCACTACATGTCGGGCACAAGGACCACGAAGATTTTCATATTTGATGAATGCGACTAATAAAAGTAAAATTTAAAAATATCGCAAGTCCGTTCCATAGTGTTTGTTGTTTCGTTTTTAACAGTTTCCAAGAATATCAGGGATCCCTAGTGTGTTTTTTTTTACTTCTTGAGCGTAACCGAGTCCGTTGGCCGACTCTCTACTTTTACGTTTTCTCGACCTTTCGTGACCCCTACAGTACGAAGAAATAGGTCTAGCGTTTCACGCTGTTTGTCTGTCCGTCTGTCTGCTGTCTCGATTTTTTTTAAATATGTCGAAGAATCTTTGGGGTTCTTTCTATGCTTTTTTCTTTTTAAGAACTTGAAGACCTTAGGGATTCCTATGTGTTTTATTTTTAAAAGTATTTCAAAGATTCGTGTAGGCTCTTATATAGTCTCCTTTATATTACGAGTAACATCTACGAGATGTCATAACAAAAAAAAGTCGCAAAACAAATTTGTAATTTATTAAAAAAAAAACTTGTTTATTGTGTGTGCTGCAGCTTGGGTTTGGATATATTTTTCCAGACAGTACCAATACAATTGTACATACATACCTTTATAATTAGATTTAGTTTTTTCTTTGTGGCGCTTATACATAGAGTTCAACACAGTTAGCATGTTATCATTTCGGCAGAAATACTGACCAAGTGTTTTTTTAAATAATGACACGTTATCTTTAGGTCTAAGTTGAAAGATCCGATTCACGAGCTGTCCTGCGCACGTTATAGATGCATAATTATTACTTTTACAAAGCAACAACTTTCAGACAAACCTACGTAACAATGACATCGATATACGATACTACTCAAAGCACATAAATTTTGTGGATTTTGTTGAATTTTAAAGGCAAATTAGGAAAAATCAACTGCAGCGCGCACACTCTGTGCATTACTGCAATGCAGTTGCATTTCTTGTTGCACTTGTTGTATTCTTGTTAATCCGTGCCACACACCTACATTCCGATCAATTTTAATCGTTTACAATTTAAAAATATCACAAAAATGCCACACGAAAACTTTTTCTCAAAATATCATCCTATTGAGCGCTTCTTTTATCTATTTATGGTCGTGTACAATTTCACAAGCAAGGTGTCTTTTATGCTGAATTACATACGCCGCCTAGCATACATGTAAACTCCTGGATGGACATGTCTTTTATAAGTGTATCGGCAGGTGGGAATGTTACAATTTTTCATTTTGTATAAATACAGCGTCTACTCGTTTCAGTGTACCCACAACTGAATGTGAACCTACATATGACACGGGTGACTCCAAACCCATCATGAATACTGGTGTACCCCATACCTACGACCACAGGTGAATCCGCAAACCCAGTGGTGGCTGGACATAGTTTGAGGATCTGAAGAGGATTCACTGTTCTGTTTCCAATGTCGTAGCGTAGAGATTGTTAGAATTACTGGATGTTTGGTTTTCCTTAAGTTGTTATTAAATAAATGCATATTGCATGTTCATGGACTTTGTCACTGTAACCTTGGTAATGATAACCACCAATGAGTTTTTTGCCACAAAAAATAGTAGCAGTAATAAACTAGTATTTTACACGCGAATCATCGACAGGAATCCGATAATATTTTAGCGTTAACAGACACATTTTAAATGACTCATTGACTCAAGGGAAGTGTTGTAGGTTATACTTAATCTAAAGCGTCGTAAAATTACCACGTCCTGATAACGCTTTGATAACAGTTGATGTACTAGTGTAAACTTATTTTCTAAATTAAAATGAAACTGTGAACTCATTTATCGTCACTCCCCCTTGTTACTCTTCCAGTGGTAACCATGAGCTCAGCACAGGTTAGAAAAATTTCGCAAAAATGTGAAACCGAAGTTCCCAATTACGGATTAAAAGTGAGATTAAACCACACTTACCCCGAAGATCGATCTCAAGATTTTATACCAAGCATAAAACAAATATGGGCTATGTTACCGCTAATTTTGCGGTACAATTTTGAGGTTATGTTTATGTTTTTCCAAAAATAATCACAACGATGTTGCAGGTACATTTGGTACTACATTGTCCACCGAATCAGGGGCAAATCCATCGTAATGGATTATGTCAAGACGCTAAGAGCGCAGCAGATATACGGTAACTCAATTGACAGGTTGAGGGCCCCATTTGATATTAAAAGCGGTTTTAGGTGTCCCGATCGGAGGTATTGGTTGTGGCACGATTGGGAGGGGCTTCCGGGGCGAGTTTTGCAGGTTTCAGTTGAGACCGGGGCTGTATGAATACAGTACAGTTGATGCAAATCAGTTTATTGTTACTGTTAAAGATGGGCACCATGAAACCATTTTTCATAGTTTGTTATCGACGTTTCCGTATGTGTGTAGTCGAATGTGTCTTTTGAATTTGAGTTGTTTTTTTTGAAGGATGAAAAGTTTGAAAAGTTGGGAAAGTTCGATTGATGGTTCAGAGTGTTTTTACACTGGGCTTTATCCCAGGTCTTGGACCGAATTTGATTTGTCCAGGTATGGAATAATGCTGACCTGCAGGCAAGTTAGCCCCATTATTCCCCATAATTACAAGGTAATTATTATTCACACATTTTCATTAAATTTTCAATCAGCGTTTACTAAAACAAAATGATTCTGAGATAATTATAATTAGCTGTGCTGAAAAGTGATCAAGAGTTCAAATTAATCACACTGGTGCAAACAAACAATCAGTCTATAGTCCAGTCCATGTGTAATTAGAAGCGCAGAAATGTCACGAGCATGAGTAACTTGTATTGAATGATACTGGTTCAAAATCCTAGATTGTTGAAAAGATGTAATCAATGCAGTATTTGTCTCTCAGTTTCATAGTAAACAGCTCATTACAAACTTCAAATTTAAAAACGTATTACCAAGACTTATAGAACAAAATACAAGAAATGTTTGTGATTTTTTTTTATGCGATTTTATGATATTTTCCTGTATTCTATTTATTTGGAAATGCAACGTAGTTATAAAAGATCGTAACATAAAGTTAGCTTTGAAATTTTGTGCATTTGCCGCCTCCTTGTGATGATTGTAACTACTATATACGTAGTTGCTTGTCACAACTCACAAATGTCAGTTGTAGGTAATCAGGATCGTAATGTATTTGTTGTTTAATAGCTAGGTAACTAATAATTCAGCTCGGCTGATGCTTATTATCTTATCAGAAAAACGCAGTCACTAGTGACACATTTTCAACCAACTTGATGTACGATATTTTGGAATAACCTTGTATATGCTACTACTATAAATTTATTTAGTGAGATATAAGAGATATGTGTTGGTAATGAATTTACTGGGTTCCATTATCACTTTTGTCACAAACATTGTGCACTTGTTAAACGACTTGGACCAACCAGTGGGTGGAAACAGCTACTTCCCGGACAAGAGCCCCACCGGACGCTGGATTACACCCACCATCACTCATTTGATCAGATTTTTCTTGAATCTCGCTAACGTTAATTTGCTTAACTTAGGCTTGTAAGGACAAGAATTCGAATATTAAACAACCATTGAAATATGCTGTACTGATGAGTGCCAAGGAGGTCGAAACTGCAATCTACAGATTTTCATTGCATGTCGAAATGTTTATGAATTTATTTGTTAGAACGAAATTCTTAAACCAGAAAAAATTGTATGTGTTTTATAGTAAGCACATCAAAAGGGTTATAAAATGCTGTTTACTTCTTCAGCGTACGCTGACCAAATAAATCCTGTCTAAAATGTCCAAAATATGATGACAGAGTCTATTTATTTTTATAACTGTTTATACAGAGTGACTTAAAACAATTAATGAATCAATAACTGCATCTATCCAAATTGATATACGTGTCCTTGCAAAAATATTGATGACGTCATCACAAAATTTTTTAAAGGGAAAACTTAATTGCAACATACGCGTAGTATGCTTTTTCGCTGCTTACTTTAACATTACATACATTTCTTTTATTTTAACTCATAAGGGTTCCCATAAAAATAAATAAAATTCGCAAAGTCAAATTTTCTAATTTTTCGAAAAAGCTGGATATGTGTTATTGTACTTCAGAGACGAGGGAAGTTCTGTCGAAATAACCCTCGACCATTTTTTTTATATCAGTTTTGCAGTGCTGGGGATAACTTTATTTTTGATTTGAGAAATACTTTGCCCATTACGCAATTAATAATAAAGAAAAACATGTTGCTAAACGATGTTTATTTAATAATTTTTTGACCTGACGTCTGAATGAAATAAATATTAGATTTATTTAATTTCATCACTACATAGAAGTTCGTTGCCGGGTCAGGCGCGGATACAGGATTTCGTTCAGGGGGGGGGGGCAATTTTTGTGCGATTTTACCTATCTACCAAAAATTCGTTCTAAACAAAAAAATTTATAAAATTTTAGCTAGTATACTCTTTTCCACATAACATGGGTGATATTTGGTTGTTTTCATTAGGTACACGTATAGTGTACAGTAGAACCTCGATAATCCTAATTAATTGGGAAAAAGGTGTGTTCGGATTAATGATTTGTTCGGATCAGCAATTTTCCCAAAAATCTGAAAGGGAATTGAATAACAACTTCATACACAACTGAAAACAAACTTCAAGAATTAAACCTAAATTTTATTAAACAAAAATTAAAGAATTCTTAAGCAACAATGGATGATAATAGATACATTCAAAAAAAATATTACTCCGTGACCATAAACACGCTATCTTTTTGGAATAAACACCCCGGGATCTGTATCCTGAAATTTTTCAGAATTTTTAGATGAATTTTTCAAAAATGAAATTTTCCATTATGTATTCGTATTACCTCCATTATGGAAATTTCGATCCATTCTCGACGATTTTCGAAATTTAACTAAATATATTTTCTTGTAGATTTTGGACCTCAGAAGTCACTTCTAGCTTCATTTCGATAACTTAAACCATTTTTCCAGAATCGTCCAGTTGAAATATCGCAATTTTTAAAAATTTCGAAAAACTCGAATTTCACAGCGAATTTTGCGAATTGCTCTGTTACCATAAACATGGTATATTTTTGGAATCAGCAAGTCGGGATATATATCCCTGAATTTTTTCAGAATTTTTGGGAAATTTTTTCAAAAATGAAATTTTTCTCATGCAAATTTCGACCCATTTTCGACGATTTTCGAAGTTTAACCAAATACTTTCTCTTGTAGGTCTCCAATAACTTCATCCGTTTTTCCAGAATTAGTTAATTAATTCAGTGCTTTGAAATATCGCAATTTTTAAAAATTTCAAAATATTCCATACAACATATGCAGAATGATCTTGCGTCATTTTTGGAAGTAGATGCATGTTTTCAAGTTCAGTTTTTGTTCGGATTAAAGAGGCATCGACTTCAAATAGCCTCTGTTCGGATTACTGGATGTTGAGACAATCGTGACTTCGGATTATAGAGGTTGTACTGTATTTACAAAATGAAATTTTGAAATTGGTCAAAATAAAGTACTTCGGTCGTGTGTCAGGGGGGGGCAATTGCACCCATTGCCCCCCCCCCCCCCCTGGATCCGCGCCTGTGCCGGGTGTATTTTTCAATATAAATTTAAGTTCTTGTCTGGGAGTAATTTTTGATTTTAATTTTAGAAATTAGACGAGCCATTTCGGATGTATTTGATAAAATAAATAGGTTCGCAAAAGTTTTGAGAGTAATGTATAAATAATTTTCAAAAGTAGGAATAAATTGTTAAACCATAGGTAACGAAGCGTGTTTTTGGTGTTTTTGTATATAGACCTTTTAAATAAAGAAATGTGATACTTAATGTCATCAGTTTTGATACAAGTAGGTACATAAATTTTGCTGTGTATAATTGTAAAAATAAGTAATAATATTCTTGTGTAGCTAGAATTTTAGCTATAAATTAGGTAAACTTTTTGTTATATTTTGTGAGACAGCGGTACAAACAGTTCAAAGAACTTTATTTATAAATTACGAGAGGATAAACAAGTGTTAACCTCCGACAAAAAACAATGATGAAAAATCTGAAATTGGTTAAGATTAGTTGCGCCAGTCGACGCACCGCTGGGACGGTAGACCTTCGCTTGAACCCAGCTGTTTCTTCTTAGATAGGATATTTAGTTGTTGTTTTTTATTCTTTCTTAGCTGAAACTGGTTAAGATTCGTTGCGACTGTCCACGCGCTGTTTTCACTTTCACGCGAACTGAGCCGATTCCTGCGCCAATTGTGCTATGAGCTGATCTTGAAATGGCTGAAGTAATTATCAAATGTAATAAGCATTCACGTTCGGTAGAAGTAGCTGACAGAAATTTTTCTGTGGTTAAGTTGCAATCTTAAGATCACTAGAAATTAAAGATTGGTATCAACTGTCTAGTTTTCTAATTCAAATGTCAAATCTGAATTGTCTGGAAAAAAACGATGTTTTTCTAATTTCAACACGCTTCGTTTGAAGAAAATCCTTAAATACAGCGTGGAAACAATTTCCACAAAAGTAGTCACGAGAAAGCGCATTTTAAAGGAAAAGAAACAAGAAATATTTCGTGGTTTTGAAAAAATTACTGGGAAAAATAGACAATGCTTGGGTAAAACGGAAACAGTTAAACTGGTGGCAGAAATATTTTCCGTAAAGTTCGCTAGTGTTCTCGAGTGTTTTTCGAATTTTAAAACAATACCGATACAACGGCGTCGGTGCCGTTAATATTATACTCAGAATCAGAAAGACGACTGCCCAGATTTATATACCTACATGCTTTGTTGGGTCCGCTCTACAATTGGTTTTTAGTTTTATATAATCGTTATTGTTTTGTAAAAGGGAAAATACTCGGCTTGGAGAATAATTGTACGTAATACGTACACGTATAAATTTAGGTTTCCGAAGGTGAAGGTTTTCACATTAAATAGGTACCAGAATCAAATTTCTAAAGCGGTATCTCTAATTGCGTGATAGTGGTGAAGATTTATTTTTCATTTTCTTGGATGAGACATGGATATACCAAAACGGATCCATGGTAAAATTGCGGATCCATGATGATGACATCAAAGCTTGTCCTCCTAAAATAACTAGTGAAGGGAAAAGATTCACAATTTTACATGCGGGTTGCTCTTTAATTGGGCTTTTAGAGGGATGCAATTTTCTCTTGGATTCAAAAGTAGATTCAGCAGATCACCACAAAACCATCACATTTTCGATATTTGCCATTTACTTACTTACATGTCACATTTTTGATACCTACTTTCTGACATTCCAGTTATACATTATACACTAGAACAATTATGTCCGCGGTTACACAGCTTAAAAAAAAAAGTTACCAAATCTAGTTACATCTACCGAACGTGAATTCCTTATAGTTAACGGCCATCCCGATTAAACCAGTCTTCAAACAAAATAAGTGCATTGAAACTGATTCAACCCTTGGGGAGCTACACGGCACTTCAGATAGACGAAGGGTTTAGAATTATAAGCCGGGGGGTATGTTAATAACTAATTATAAATAAAATCGGTACGTTCTTTCTACAGATTTTGTTTTTTTTTTGTTGTAATTAGTACACGGGGGTAAAAATACGGGTACATTATTATTGATACAGGAGCACGCTGCAGTAGCTATTTGAAAGATTTACTTGAAAAAATTCTGACGTGACGTCATTAGTTTTTTGATTATATCTAAGATTTCGAATGCGTAATTTTGGAGATGGTATATGCAATGAAATCATTAACAGACAGATAGACGGAAACGGGAAATCGACATTAAAATATGATTGATGTTTTATTTAGCGGATAATTTTCCTATATAAAAGTTTTTTTCAGTGTTTTCAACGTTTTAAAAGTATACACTTTTTTTAGTAAAATTAAGAACGTGTTACATAATTATGTATACTAATGTAATGAAACATTTTTACTTCCTAATGAGATCATTCTTTTGCGTTATTATTTACATACTAATGTTGTTTTTTAAATGGTTGCACTGCATGTACAGTGGCTAGGAACTCGAAAAGTCCGAAACTCCAAACTTTGATCATTCTCATTAACTGTTAATAGTTTTTCATTTCTGAATTTTTGTACACACCGTATGTTCTTCTCGAGCAATCGTGAGTCAAAACAAGGATTACTAAAAACGAAAAATGTATCAAAAGTAACGATAACAAACTAAGTGATACTTACCCGCATATTTCGAAAGTTACCAATTGCCGGTACATCTCTGTATTGGCAATGATTCTTTCCACATCATCGACATCTTTGATCATTTTTGGAGCAGTTTCCACATGTATACCTTGACACCTAGTATCCTGTGTGTCACTACGTTTTTGTCTGTCATTTACTGGATCAGAGCTTGAGTAAATCGTTCCGAAGTAAGATTCCAGAATTGTAGCTTTTTTCATCATTTGGTCCACCTTTTCTTCTGGATAGTCGGATACGGTTTGGCACATGTTGAAAATGCAATTTTTCGGCAGATTGGGTTTTGCGTTCTTGTTGTATCGGCCAAGCGAATGCGAGTTCTGAAAAAAAATGATGTTGGAAATTTTAAAAAGAATGGTTGGTTCTTACCGCAGAAAGCGCAAGAGTGAGCATTAAAAGGGGAGTTAGGTTCATCATCTTGTATGAAATTTGACGATGTTTTTGATGTAGATGTAAACCAGTCGGTATTTATATAAATACTGGTCCAGTGACTAATTATCATTGTGGTTAGCAGGGAATTTCGTTGGGTAATCATCAAAGAGCGGACTTGGATGCAAAAAAAAATGTTAAAATATTTGTATATAGGTGTGTGCACAAACAAAAAATGTTAAAAAGATCTTTTGATGATAGATGTCAGGGTCTGTTTATATTTTTATTTCACAACAAAGTTTTTTTGTAGTTTTATGTGAAATATGTATGTACAATTACTGCGAATTAAAGCTCTTAGGACACTAAAACAATAAAATTTTACTATGCAGTTATGTAGTGACACGTAAAAGTACTAAATTTATGTCAATAAAATAACATTTGATATTTGTAATGTTTAAGGCGATAACATTTATTGAGTGCGTTGTGCTAAGTTCCGTGTTAAAATTAATTGTTTTCGACATATGCTTTTTTTATTAATAAACTTATTTATCGATATGGATAGCCAGTTTGTCATTTGTTAACATGAAATAAATAAATAAATATGTTAAACTTCATCCAAATTTATTTAGAAAGTGTGAAGTATCCGAAACAGTTCGTTATCATCAGATCATTGTAAATATTAAAATTACTTCTCCCTAGAAAACGTGTATCTTAAAAAATCATCAAATATGTTTTTTTGAAAAAAATCTTATTAATTTAGAAAAATTGTTTAAACCTATCAAATTCCCCGCATTTGGGAATTACAGTAACATTGTACTATACATTTACTTATCTCTATCAATGCATTGATGACGCCATATCAAAAGTACACGTATATATAAAATATGTATTTTGGAGAATATGCTTTCCTGCAGACGTGGTATTTGCTGCTGCACTTCAGGGACGAGGGACGTCTGTAAATACTTTCATAGGGTTTTCTGTAATACGAGGAAAACCATATTAGTAGAAATATCATATGCGTCAAAGGTCAGATCAAGTTTATCCAGTTCTGTTGCGGAATTTTATACTGAAAGATGAAGGGTACCTGTTGAAAGGTGTGATAGTATATTGATATTTTTCGGTGTTGCGGAGATAACAATGCATTTGAATTAACCATTGTTTAAATAATAACAAGCGTCTATTATATTAAATCAATAAGTGATTATCTTTTGTTATTTCAGTGTAATTTTTTACGTATCACTGTCCTGAACCAATTGATGGTTATATCCTGAGTAGTCATAAATTTCTAATGAAGTTCCGGGTAGTGTAAAATTTTGTCAACGCTAATTTATCAGTGGTTTGTAAAGTCATAGGATTACTTATGAGTAAATAAATAAAAATGATGAATTTTGTGGGATTCTTATGGTTTTGGCGGAAATGATATTCGTTGTTTTCTAATGTGTGATGCGTTTTTGTCTATTTCATAATTTATTTCTGTCTATAACCAAACAATTACTAATTTATACACTATGCTAAAGCAAGTTGACTTTTATCTTTCTTGGTGTAATATAGGTTTCTAACACCCACTAGTTTAGAACAAAAGTGGAAGTTTAGCCCACCCATATCAATTGTAAGCAAAGTATTTTCCTGTTCGATGAGTACGTATCGCTTTCTGGACCCAACTGGAAAGTAAAACGAGTAGCGAAGACGTGTGCTTAAACCTTTCTATCAGAATTGATTCTTATGCTAAGTGAACACCATACAAATCTCATGTCAGGTACAAAATTTTAAATCCAACTCGACCATCACCTCAGTCGTGCGGAATGGTTTATCGCAAGAAGGGTCAAAGTCAATTTGTTGTAGCCATATCCATATTATATATCGTTATAAAATACAGCCAGCATAAAGCGTAGGACGCGTTAGAATATTGAAATTCCGTGAACGCCATTGTTTTTAATTTGAAGTAGTGTACATATTTTTCGTAAATTACGACTGTCTTAGAACCAAGATTGCAAGGAATCATGCTATGCAATATCTGAAATTACAATAACTACTCAATTTGGACGACGTTCATTTTTTGAGAATATTCTTCTCCTTCTGGTGTAAAACAATGACGTTTTACAGAACTTAGCTCTCGAGTACTCTGTATGTTCGTGATAAAAGGTCTTTGTCAAGTCACTGCTTGACATCTAAAACGATTTCTTTGTATGCCTTTACAGGATAGTTCCTTACCATGCTCTGTCTTCGTCTGGGACATCAAAAACATTTGCGACGAAGATAGAACCGTAACCATCGCTTTCACTTTTAAAAACGGCATCGGAAATAAAAGCAAAGATAGATCCTGTAATACCGCCTCCACCATTTTTAACCCAACTACTAATTTCATTTTCAGCGACTTGTAGTTCCAAGGCTTTTTCCCTTGGAGAATCCGAAGGAGTCGTTCTCTACCACACCATCGACAAAATGCAATGTTCCTACGTTCTTTCAGCTAAAGCAAACCCCGACATCGATATTTCCAAGTGTCTCTATTTCGATCCGAATTCTAGCGGAATTGAGCCTTGGATCCAACTTAAAAATAATGGGTGTTTTGATAAGATTACCGATAAGAATTATGGACAGGTTTTTGGGGAAATGGCCTGTGGTATTGCTGCTAAGGGCCTAGTGCATCCCAATAACTGTCTCAGTACTGAGATGGCGTTGGTCTGGGATATGCCGACGGTCCAGTTCCCCAACAAACAAAAGAAGTATTCGAGGTACTACACAAAGTACTTTGGGAACGAAAACGCCGGGTTGAGAATTACGAGATACGCGTTTGAGAATTATAGAGAGTGGGAAGATGGTATTTATAGGTGGCAGGGTGCCATTCTCGAAGATGGGTAAGACAATGGGCACAGTACCAAATATAGATTCAAAAAATTCCATGTAGAACCGTTTAATAATCCAAACATTTACAGAGAACTACCCGACTGGTATAAGTCGGCGCTCTTTAACGAATCGTACTTTGTGAGCGATGGTGGTACTATTTGGGTCACTCTGGACGATGAGGACGCCAAAAAGCTACCAAAAAGCGACCCCCGGTAAATTTTTGCCCGACGGTTAACCCACGCTTTAACATTCTCCTTTAGAATAGAGTTCGGAAAGTTCGCACTCTTGGAGGGACATGAATACAAAATGTACAACACGTACGATGTACATTTCTACGCTTCGTTTGCTTTCGTGCCAAACTGGCCTCTTTTGCAATCAGTTCTTCAGTACGACATGAGGGACGCCATTTTCACAGAGATCCCGGATAAAGTGAAGATGTTGTACGATGGTTCCATGGTGGAACGGAAAGTACCGAATACGGTACCACACGATATAGGAGATCCTGGTACGCGACGATAAAGCAAACAAAAACTTATTTTCGACTTTTTAATTGTCAACAGGTGAGGAACCGTTCATTTTGCTTAATTCTTACCCCATCCACGACGTTAGCCACTGGCGAGATTTAAATTCCAAGTTCGTGTTGCAAGTGTTCAGAGACGCTTTCACAGCGGGTTTAAACGAACGCTCTGTACAATATTTGAATGATATGTACGACGCTTGCTACGCCGTGATGCACAAGAGCGAAGAATTCGATATTGATGGTGATGGGCTAATCGAAAATACGGGTAGTCCGGATCAGACTTTTGACACTTGGGTTATGACGGGTTCTAGGTACATACTCAAAATTGGGGTTAGCCGTGACTAATTTGTGTTTTTAAGTGCATATTGTGGTGGTCTATGGCTAGCTGCTCTCTTCGCTATGACCAAAATCTCTGACGCGTTACAAAAAACCAAAGATAATGAAAAGTTCCAGAAACTTCTAGACAAAGGGAAGGCGTCTTTTGAACGGAAATTGTGGAACGGGAGGTGTTACAACTTTGATTGTTCGGACGTGGAGTGTCGGTCTATCATGGCGGATCAGTTATGCGGTCAGTGGTATCTGAGAAGTAGCGGTTTTGCATATGAGGTAACTTTACTTTGTGTGAAGAATGATGTGGTATTGTTGTTTGTCAGGTGTTTCCGCAAGATCGTGTCAAGACTAGTTTGAAGACGATTTATGAAAATAATGTACAGTCGTTTTGTAATGGTAGAATGGGTGCAGTTAATGGGTTTATAGATGGAGCTGTTGATAAGTTTACTATACAGAGTGAGGAAGTGTGGACCGGTGTGACATATTCGTTAGCCGCCAGTATGCTTCAAGAGGTAATAAAGGTATACTTTGTGGTGGAACGTAATGGAATCGTTGTAGGGAATGTGGAGCGAAGGGTTTAATACAGCTGGAGGTATGTATAAATCGATGACCGATCGCTTTGGACTTGCTTTTCAAACCCCTGAGGCTCTATACGCCACTAAGTGTTACAGAGCTGTAGGTTATATGCGAGCACTTAGTATCTGGTCGATGCAACTAGCTATCAATGAATTAAAGAAGACAAAGAATTAAAAACATCAGTACTTGTAGCTTTGTTTTTATAATTAGAAATAAATCTTCAAGTTAAATCTCACAAACGTACCTTATTTTAACATCACACTCTTATTTACAGCTATATCAACGAATAAACATAAAATTAAAAGGATAACAGTCCTTTTAGTCGTCTACGGGTTTCACACGAATTTTCAAAGGGTCCGCAATACCATATAGAGTAGTCGTTGCAAATTTCATGTCTTTGTGGGGCCAACTTATCTCGAAATTTCTGGCGATCTAAAAATATTTGTCGTACGAAGTGCTTTTTGATTGATAGTAGTTAGGTACCTTTAAAAATGCCACATCCAGTTCCAAATTGGCTAATCTTTTTCCAATGCAGCTTCTTGGGCCGTACCCAAATGGTGCCAGAATGAATGGATTTGCATTTTTGTGGGAAATGTCAGCCGGACACTGCGATAGCCAGCGTTCAGGCAAAAAATCTCTAGCTTTGGGAAAGTGGGCATCCATCAGGGAAATCACCAAGTTTGATGACATAACGTCTGTCTGAAAATTACAAAGCTGAAGAATGATTCACTTTTCGATATATTAAAAAAAATCTGTTTCCACTTCGTCTGAAGATAATTTTAGAAAAACAAATTTTTGGGAGCTGTATTCTGCAATTGTTAAAGTTCAAGAATTTGGGAAGACAAAAAGATTATGAATCTCATATTGTAAAATCAAGAATAGACTGAAACCGTGTTATTTACTTGTATCATGCACAAGAGCAAGTTTTTTTTTCGATCATATGGTATATAAATAATATTTTATAATTCCGTAGTGATCTCCAGCTACTTGGTGCATTTGTAAAGATGATTCTTCAGTACCTAATTGTTTAATTATGTTGAGCTTTAACTGGACCTGAGTCTGTTAGCCAATTTTCAATCACAATAATATACTTACGTTTTCTGGTATTTGGTAACCTGCCAGGACCAGTTTTTTCTGCGTTCTGCGCATGTTTCCAATACCTATGGGAGCCAAACGGGTGACTTCTTTAACCACAGCTTTCAAGTAGGGAGCTTTTGCCAATACTTCTTTCGTAATCGGTGTGTCTTTATTTTTAAGCAAAGCTTGCGCTTCCTTTCGGAGTTGTTCCTGTTTTTCTGGATATTTGCCTAGGTAGTATAGGCCTGCACCCAAAATTCGTCCAGTCTGTAAAAAGAGAAGCTACAACAGGAATGTCACTTAAAATAACATTACTGTGTCTATTCCAGCAAGCATCATATCCATGGCCATTGCAACAGCCGTGTCTTTGTCTTTTTTCAGTAGTTGCTGCAGTACACTTTTTATTTCATTTTCGGGATCGTTTTCTTGTTTGGCCAGTTTATCTAAAGCTCGATTAATGTGTTTGATATTTGTCCTGTAACATTCTATTAGTATTTGGATTTATAATGACTAGAGTTCTTACTCCACGAGAAAATCTATAACTGAAACGTATTGTTTCCAGTCGGGAGTGTTCATGTATTTATACAACGAAGGTCTAAAGTCAAGTTTGTACATCAAATCGAAGAATTGGATTGCATTGTTTATAATTTTTTGCTGCTCGGAGTCGGCTTTTAAATCGCGTTTTAAACAACCTACAAAAAGTATGTGTGAAATTGAAAAACAAAAGTAAAAGAATACCCAAATGTGTATCTAGTGTCACCACTCCGACAGATTCCAAAGACCATTTGTATAGTTCGTTCCTGAAGTCATCGGGCATTTCACCATCTTTGTTTTGTTTGGCGAGATGCTTTATGTTGTCCACCAGTTCATCAGCAACGAGGTTCATCTTATCTGTGTATCGCGCGATATTTTTTGGTTGCATCAGAATTGGATTTACCACGGATCTAAATCTGAACCAGCTTTCTCCTTGACTAGGAGAAAAATGAGTTATTGAAGTAAACAATAAGGTTATAGTGTGAAGACTTGCTTACCGTGTTACTAGTCCAAAAGTTTTGACACCTTTCCTTGATTCCTGATACTTTTCAAGAGATGGAATGTTGTCTCTTATTGGCCAGACACCTTCATTTCTAAATAACTAAATGTTTATTAATATAGTAATTTGGGCAAAAATGTAAATACATATATACCGTTTCAAAATCTTTCGGGTCGAAGAGCACAACGATTGATTTTCCCAACAGTCCTCTCAGGATTGAAATATTGCCATACTGTCTATTTAAACTAGAAAAAGATTTCAAGAGATATGTGTGGTTTTGTAAAGTACCTACTTACTCTCTGTGGATGTCTACGAAGTCCTTTCCGTAAAAGTCTCCAAATATTGGTACCGCAAATCTCCACATATTTCCAATAATTGGTAGTGGTTTGGGTCCTGGTATGCTGTCAAACGGTTTTGCTTCGTCCCAGCCTTGTGGTTTAGCGTCTGTGGTGTCCAAAGCGTGCAAATTCTTATAGTGCTCAAGTTTGTTTTCAAATGCAGCGGTTTCTGCATTTGTCGACATGAAGATCTTTGTTGTGTTGTAACTTACACATTTTAGTAATTTCGTTCGTAGCATTTTGGAAGCTATAACTGAAAGGTTGTATGTAAAATGACACACTATTTTGATAAGGTAGGTAGACGTTATCAACGAATAATTTTTGCATAAAAACACGGACAAGCAAAGTTGAGAGGTTTTGTACTCAATTGTGTTTCGTGTTGCTTAGGTAGGTACGAGGGGTAATTAAAAAAGAATAATAAGCCTAATGAATTTGTATAGGTAAGAAATCAATTTTGGGATTATTAGACAAGTTGTGTGCTGTTTTTGTACAAAATTTTGTCTATTTAGAATTATTTTTTTTTGTTAAGTAAATCTTGAGTGGATAATAACAATAACCAATGTGATTTTTTGAAGTATTTATTAATCGGGTTCTTACCTGAATTTTAAGTGCTGACTTCAAAAAGAGCTAAATTTTAAATTACTTAAGACTTCTGAAGGAGATTGTTTAGGATGAGTATTTATATAACAAATAAATGATGAGACTTATAATATTGTACTGATAAGAAAGATACGCTTATCATTATTAGTTGTAAATAAGTGTTGATAAGAAAGAAGTATTTACGTTTTTTAATTTGCGTGTGAAGACTGATTCTGCACAAGTGTCCATAATTTTATTGTACCTTTTGTTTGTCACCTGCGATACGTATAGCTTATCAGGATATTTTTATCAAAAGCTCTTCACGTTTATCATTGTTTTAAATTTTCACATTGACAAGAAGTATTTTTTTTAATATCTTGTGACTTATTCGTTACAAAAAGTCGATTTAAATCTAATTTTAGCACAGAATAAATTTTAGTTTTAAAAACATATTTGTCCTGTATTTTGTACTTTTTTGAAAATAGTTCATTTTTTTTTTGAAGTTGATTTTCTTTTTTTGTAACTAATTTAATAGCCACTACAATACATACAGTGGTCTCTGATCTAAGACTTTTAAGGATGCCTTGCACTCTTAGGCTGGTTTAGAGGATTCGTGTGAACAGCTGACAGAGCTAATAATTGTCTCTAGCCGGATCTGACGTAAACATTTCTAGTTATCTAGATTTCTCGGCTACTGTTATCACATTGTTTATCTAAATTCGTGTTTTAAAGTGAAACACTACCCTAGTTGCTTTTGCCTCTTTTTATATTTTTTATCTCACTGAAAAAGCAGTTATTAAAATTAAACGCTGTGACCCTAATTAATCTTTAAATTGACATATGTATAAATAAAATTTATAAAACTGATTTTAATCAAATTTATAATAATAAGAAATCTCGGATTCCAGTTTAGATAAACACTAATCTTAAATACCGCAGAGCTACAGGATTAACTTTTTTAGTCCGCCAGAAATTTACACGTTTTTTTGTAATTTCATCCAAATTTCTGGCCGTCTAAAGATACGTATTTATTTATGTATTACCAATTTGGTTATTTTAATAAAAGTTATACTTTAAATAAATCTAATATAAGCAAATGCACGGATTTTAGATAATGGCTTTTGTTGTATTGTCTATATCACACCACCCGAGTAGTTTCTGCAAATAAATAAAAAATAATGCTAATAAATTATTTATTTATTTTAAAATTTTAATAACGTAGTAAGTATGAAATATTGATTGATTTAAAAAGAAACTACAAATAAGTAATACAGATTATACTAAAGAGTATTTGACTGAACTGAGTAATATTCCATTTGTTTCAATTAAAATATCTTTTTGTATTTGAATCTTATTTACTTTATTAATGTGTTGTTTCCGAAGATGTCGTATGTGGGTAATACACACAATATATTTAAAGATAACTTACAGTTATTTTGTGCTATCAGATTTTAAGGTTTAGATAAAAAAGTACAGAGTTATAATTTCTTTTTCATGTTTGTATATTGTTGATTTTTCCGTTGTTTTGCGTGCGATGAGTTGTCAAAAGAGTGTTGTTTAGTCATCATCACCAGTCAATTTTTGATGATTAGTTAGTAAGTATATTAGACATCTAGATACCTAACTGATACCATGTTATCTCACTTTTTAATTTTATAGCGATCTACTCCAGGATGAGGCTAACAACTATAGTGTTCTCATCTAATATAGTAGTAGTAGTAATATAGTTCTCAGAATATGACATAACAGATCCCTGTTTCCATCTGTCTGTCGTCTGTTGGTGATTTTATTAGACAGACAATTTCCAACACTACTAAAGTGTTTGTTGTGAAATTGTAGCCATATGTTAAGGATATCATGTTGAAGAACTTTATCAGAGTTAGGAGAATTTTTCTTGCTAGTGTGTAAAATTTTTGTAAATTGTTGATGAAGATTGCTTTGATGTAGAGCGTTTTTGAAATTTAGGAGGTAACTGAAATTTTTTTAAAAAGGAATTGGGGATTGTTGCTTGTTTGAATTCTAAGCCAATGCGTTCGCCACATGTTTTCTCAATCAATTTTCCGTTATCGGTAACAACCAAAACATAGGACAACTTGCTTTGAAAAAGGACCATATTACAGAGCGATACAAATATGTAACACCTTGCCCTTCTCATTAATAAATATTTTATTAAATAATATATTTTTTAAATAATAGATTCAAACGCGATCTTCGCGTTTTACCTCCACTTAATATCACTCCTAATTCACAGGACCCTGGTCGCTGTGGGAAAAAGCTAAATGTTTCTCTAATAGAAAAATCTGTTTCTGTAATAGAAATATATTATTACTATTTTTATCGATGTGGTCCACAAAGAGTAGATCATGAAATCGCAGAATCTGTTATTATTTGTCCAAGAGACAAGAGACCTTTGAAATGTTCATCTTTTTAGTTTGAGACATTTTCTATAAATTAGTGAACAACGTTAATTTTTATTCCTAAAAAAAATCAGCTGCAAATAGCACCACCGGAAATGTAGTACTCGTACTAATTTTTACAATACGATTTATATAGGGCCAACAAGTAGATATTGTTTTTAAAGTAACGACAATTTAGGAGCCTTTTTAAACAAATATATACAATTTAACTTTGAAACTACAAAGTCTTGCAGACCTTTCAACGTTATCGTAATCATGGTTAATCGTTACCTATTCAAAATGTATTCGTTTATCTCCTCCTAAAAATTGATGACGTCATCTCAAATTTTTGCCGAATAAATCAATCCCCTCTGAAATATGCAAAATATTATGACAGTTATGACTCCATACTTGGTTTATCCATGCATTTACAGTTTTCGAATTACAAATTAAAAAAATATAGAATGGGGCAATTTATTTTATTGATTAATAAATCAAAAACAACTCACTCCATTTTCCCCAAAAATTTAGGAATACAATACTGTTGTTGTTAGTATTACATTGCATCTATCCAAAGTGATATTCGTGTACTTGCAAAAGTGTTGATGACGTATTACAAAATTTTTATAATGGGAAAACTCACTTGAAACAAACGCTTAGCACGCCTCTTTACCTTTGCTCCAACATTATATACATATCTTTATTTTAACTTATATCATAAAAAAATAAAATTCATGAAGTCAAATTTTATTATTTTCGAAAAAGCTGGATTTCTTGTACTGTTTTTTAAGGGCGAAGGAAGTTCGGTCGAAATAACTTTCGACATTTTTTTTAATAATTACGTGTACGTATTTTGTATTGTGCCGACGAAAGTGGTCCCATTTTCATTTTCTGTCATTTTTTCTAATATCTGACTTACAGCCTATCTCGTCAAAATGGTATCTGGAAACCTAATTTTAAGATGGGTCGATAATCATAAAGTTTGAACATAGCATTACGTACGTTAGTTTTAGGTTAGAAAGAAATAAATAAAAAAATGAAAGAAATCTAGGAAATCTAGTTCTAGGTAAAAGGGAGCAAACTGGATATATATACAATATCTTTATTGTCTGACAATGTGCAATTTGCTTCACATTTCTAGGTTTAATGATTATATCATCGAAACGTTTACTGGTTTAAAGCTTTGATATGTAACTGTAACGGTTTACCTATGCCATAGAAAATGGTTGTAGTAAAACACATGTCTTCATGTGGCCAACTCAAGTCAAAATTTCGAATAATCTGAAATATTCAGTACCTATTACATCACTGAGATGCATCAGAATAACCAAACAACCTTCAGGAACGCTATGTGTAGTTCCAAATTAGCCAATCGTTTTCCAAGACAACTTCTTGAACCAAGTCCAAAAGGGGCAAAAGCAAACGGGTTAGCGGTTTTATGTGAAGAAAGCCACCGTTCGGGCAAAAATTCTTTAGCCCTAGGAAAGTACTCATCCGTCGTACAAGGAATTAAGTTAGCCGTCATGATATCCGTCTGAAAATCATACAAAATCGTCTTGTTTTTACAAAAAATATGAATTTGTACCCCTTTGGGCACTTGGTATCCAGCTAGAGTCAAATTTTTGACTGTTGTTCGCAAATTCCCTACACCTATAGGTGCTAAACGCGTGACTTCTTTAACCACAGCTTTTAAGTAGGTGGCTTCTGCTAATACTTTAGTGGTTACAGGGGTGTTTTTGTTTTTGAGCAAACGTTTTGCTTCTTCTCTAAGTCTGATTTGTTGTTCGCGATTTTTGGCTAAGAAGTATAAACCAGCACTCAAAATGCGCCCTGTCTGGAATTTTAAACTTGAAAAAAGTACAAATGCAAGCGGTGTCTTACAGTGTCTACTCCCACAAGCATCATATCTAGAGCCGTAGAAAGTGCAATATTTCTGTCTTTCTTTGCAATTTGGTGTAATACGCTTCCTGCTTCTTTCGTTGTGTCTGTTTCTTTGTCAAAATTGTCCAGAGCCCGATTAACATGTTTAGCGCTTGTCCTTAAAACAATATATTATTATTCGGTTTCATCCTTAAAAGAATATTTCTACTGGATCAAGAAATCAATCACTTCTACATATTTATTCCAAGTTGGTGTATTCATAAGTTTCCACATCGACGGTAACACATCTAGCTTGTACATTAACTCGAATATCTGCTTTGAGCTGTTTATCATCTTTTGAGCTTCAGACTCAAGTTCCAAGTTTCTTTTCAAACACCCTAAACCAAAAACAAATGAAAACATTTTTAAAGCTTCAAATACCTAAATGTGTGTCAAGGGCTACTACTCCGATGGATTCCAAGGCCCATTTATCCATCTCGTTTTTGAAGTCACTTGATGTCTTAATAGCCTCATCTCGTTCCGCAAGGTACTTCATGTTATCGACAAGCTCGGTCGTTACGCGATCTACTTTTTCAGTATATTCGTTAATAATTTTTGGTTGTAGTAAGATAGGGTTTGCTGTTGTGCGAAGTGTGAACCAGTCTTCTCCTTGTCTGTAAATAAGAGAAAAACTCAAATTACAGACGAACCGTAAAACTCACAGTGTCGCAAATCCAAAATTAGGACACGAGTCTTTTCTCAGCTTTCTGTAGTACTCAAGTGACGGTTGGCCTTTTCTAATCGGCCACACTCCTTCGTTTTTAACAACCTGCAATTTATATATATGAATTAATTGATTTAGTAGAGTGCCAGTTGTGGATTTTAACAGAGAGGATTACCGTTTCAAAGTCTTTTGGATCGTATAACACCACCAGTTGTTTGAACCCTGAACCTAGAATACCTTTTAACGTGAGAATGTTTCCGTACTCTGCACACAGCCTAAGAAAATTTGGTTTCAAGTTTCGTTTTTAATTACCCATAACTTACTCTTTATGCACGGCGACAATATCTTTTCCTCGAAACAGTGGCATCCAAAGTCTCCACAAGTTCCCAATTACTGGGAAACACCTAGCTCCTGGAATACTCTCAAACGGTTTTGCTTTATCCCAGCCTCGTGGTTTAGCGTCTGTTGTATCCAGAGCGTTTAAATTTCTGTAATATTCACGTTTTTTCTCCAGTGATGTATTTTCGACGTTTGTAGACATGAAGGTTTTAGATGTGTTGTGTGCAACAATTTTCAAAACATTTGCTTTTATCATATTTTTGTATAAAACTTCTGAAAAAATAACGTGCAATGAGAACAATTTTATTTCTTGACTTATTAGTTGAACGGAGGTTATTGTCCATTTATATACTTGTTCAAGTTAAACAACCTTGGTGGAAACCTTTTTGATTGTTTAAGTGCAATCCGATGTTATTTGGTTATATTTTAGTCTTGTTGGTGATGATGGGCAACATTATATATAATTATAATAATAATTATTATTATACTAGACGCAAACATTTAGTGTGTTTATGGCTTCACATCAATTCATTATTATTCAATAGGCCGTCACAGCCGGATGTCTTAAACCCGTTTACTGATAACCTACCTGAAAAGACTTTTTTCTGGTAAAAGCACAGGGCAGTACTGTCTGGCCGTCCCTGACACGTGGCATGGTTTGCATTTGCTAAGTTTTATGAAGGATTGGCTGTAAAGTATTTTAAACGTCAAAGCCGTAAACGGACCAAATCTTTGCGTCTAGTGTGCATAAAATAAGTATAAATTATTCAAATTGTAGTACCTAGTTTTCTTTTAAGGACGCTTAGATTCTACAGCGGTAGAGTAATCTTCGTTAACATTGTTAAATTTTCTTTGCAGCACTTCTACAGTTTTTTATAATTTCTAAGTATTTTTCTATTAAAGTGTATTTAATGTTCTTCGGTGGAAATTAACAAATAAATTCTGAATTAATTTCATCGATTTTCTATAACACTGAAATATCTAAATAACGAAAGTAAAATTTTCACTTCACTTAAAATTTAAAGTGCATGCGTGTATCCTATAAACTTGAAACACTAAGTAAACGAGTATTATTTGTGTACTAATTCCTATAATTACACCTGGGGAAGCAATAAATTATACTAGTACGGCATTTTTGCAATTTTCATACCAGCACCTCTCCTACCTCCCCTTCGACGCAGTTCTGTCTTATCATAAAGTGATAAGAAGGCTAATTTTTGTCGTTGTAACTTCCTTTTGTCATAGACTATTGGTTAAATTATACCCAGACAATTGTAATATAGTGTCCACTACATCTATTTCCAATTAAAATGGATTTTTTATCCAACGTTGACATCGAAGTGTACTTAAAAGATATTCTGTTTAATGAAAAGTTAAAACATTTTTTAGTCCAACAACATAAAACAGGTCAGGAGGGTAAAGGTTTTGTAGCTGACGTCATTTTTATTACTGTAAGAGGGCAAACACTACAAGACCAATCAAAGGAATATAATTTAGTCCTAAAATGTAGCAAACAGATTCCAAGCTTGAGAGACACTCTTTCAATCAAGGCAACGTTTGAAAACGAAATATATTTGTATTGTTGTGTTTTCAACGAATTTGTCAACTTTCAACACGATAAAAAGCTGGACAGAATTTTTGATTGCGTTCCTAAATGTTTTGGAACATTCGTTGGGGAAAATTTAGAGATTCTTGCTCTTCAAAATTTGAGAAGTTTGGGATATTGTGTTAATGATCTCAAAAATGGCTTGGATGTTAATCATTTAAATTTAATTGTTAATGAGTATGGTAAATGGCACGGTATTTCAGCAGCTATGCAAGACCAGAAACCGGAAGCGTTTTGGCGTTTATCGAACGGTATTCAAGATCTGTGGGAAAAGCTCAGCGAAAAGATAGATATAGATAAGTTTTTTGGGGTACCGATTGAGCAAATATGTAATTTAGTTCGACACGAAATCGGCGATGACGCCAAAAGAAAGATAAACAAATTTCGACAAAAGATCTTGTTTATCATGAAAGAACTGATTTTTGATAGAAATTATTTTTGTGTTTTAACACACGGGGATGCTTGGAATGACAATTTTATGTTTAAATACCAGGTAAATTTTTACTTTTTGGTCTATTCTTGTTGATTTAATATCCTACAGGATTCTGACAAACAGAAGCCTGTAAAAGTGACAATATTGGATTGGCAGATGTCGAGAGTGGGAAACCCGGTTACAGATTTGTCATATTTAGTTTATTCTTGTGCGTCAACTGACGGTTTGGAGGCGTTTGATGACATTCTAAATGTATATTATAACAGTTTCGCTGAAACTGTAGGTAAACTTGGAAGTAATCCTCACACTATATATTCCTTTGAGCAGTTTTTGTCCGACTGGAAAGTATTTGCCAAATATGGATTGATGCTATCTTTTGCAGCTTTTCGAAATGCTATATCTGGTAAAAATGAGGCTGAAAATTTTGAAAAAAATGGCCAAAATGTTTATGATGTTGGTGGTACATTTCATAATGAAGTAAAGTATCACGATTTCTTCAAAAAAAGAATTTTGTGTGTTATTAATGATGTTGTTAAAAGAGGTTTTATATAACTGCATTGTATAAAATTATAAGTAGTAATAAAGTAGTAAATTTATTCTGTTTATCAAACACGTATTTTATTGTGTAAGTTATGTAATCCTCTATGATTTATATAAATCTAGAAAAACTTTAATACGTAGGTCAGGTCACATCACATTAGATTAGGCCACGTAAAGGCAAGTCAAGTCTCTTATTTATTTTTAAAATCTCTCAATATAATAACAAACATACTCATGAACTTTTTATTAAAAAAATATATATAATATTTGCTGTTGGGCAGCCTGCTAAATTGATTTTTCCATAATGTCTGCTGTATACTAGACATAGAACTAGACGTTGGATCCGATGTCATTCCGTTTTGGCACTTAAATCTAGTGGCTAAAGCTTAAAAATTTTGACATATTAAATATAGTTTATTTTTGCGAATCCATTTTGTCCCTAAGTTTTGTCTACAACTTTATTATATTTCTATACAACGCGTAGTTTATTTCCAAATTTGGTTGGGATAACAATGAGAACATTGTGACAAAATAATCCAAAAAAGTTAAATCCATCAATTACTGTTTAAATGAACTTCGTCTCGTAACTTTATTACTTTTTCATTTTTTACTAAAATAAACAAACTTATATTCTTCTTTTTAATCACTTATTTAGGATTTCTATTACTTCAGCAACGACGGACAAACAAACAAGTGTCAGCAGAACAAAAAAGATAACCCACTACACTGAAGAAAAATTTATTTTTGGATGATACAATTCTAATTTTATAAAAATATTGTAACTTTTCTTTTACAATAGTGAATAGGTGAAATCACACTGTACAAAAATATACACTTCAAAAAATAATTCTTTGTTGTATTATTAGTTCTTACACGTTACCAAATTCAGCACGCTTCGACAGCAATCTTCACTGATCTAAAGGCTTCACGCGAAGTTTTAGTGGTTTAGCTATCCCATACAGCGTAGTCGTGGCAAACGTCATATCTTCGTGCTCCCATCTCATATCAAAATTGCGAATCATCTAAAACACACGACGTATTTTTTTTTATTTACCGAACCCGAACCTACTTTCAAGAACGCTACGTGTAACTCCAGATTAGCTAACCTCCTTCCAATACAACTCCGGGAACCATGTCCAAATGGTGCAAACACAAAGGGATTAGCACTTTTGTGCGAAAGTTCAGGAGAGGTTGTGGTAAGCCAGCGTTCGGGCAAAAATTCTTTAGCTTTTGGATAATGTTCATCCATTGAACAAAGAATCAAATTAGACGTTAGAACATCCGTCTGAAAATTATAAGAGGTTAGTGTGTACTATCAAATATGTATTCTTATTTACCCCTTTTGGTATTTGGTAGCCCCCTAGAATTATATCTTTGACTGTTGTTCTAAAATTTCCGATACCTATAGGTGCTAAGCGAGTAACTTCTTTGACAACGGCTCGTAAGTACGGAGCTTTCGCTAGAACTTCTTTTGTTATAGGGGTTTCTTTGGTTTTCAGTAGACTTATGGCTTCCTCCCTGAGTTTAATTTGTTTATCGGGATTTTTTGCTAGGAAATATAAACCAGCGCCTAAAACTCGTCCCGTCTGAAAGTATAGATAACAGTAGGGAAAAAATTAGTGGTTTATGAGTACCGTACGGTATCTATGCCAGCCACCATCATACTTATAGCCATGGAAATGGCAACTTTTCTGTCCTTTTTTAACAACTGCTGCAGTACACTTTTTATTTCGTTTTCCGTGTCTACTTCTTCCTTCTCCAGTTTGTCTAAAGCACGATTAATGTACTTTATGTTGGTCCTAAAACAAATCTTTGGAATGTCTGATTTGCATCAACTAAAAATCATACTGAATCATGAAATCAAGAACTCCCACAAATTTTTTCCAGTCTTTTGTACTAACCAGCTTCCACACAGATGGTAAAATGTCAAGCTTGTACATCAAGTCAAAAAATTGTGTGGCACTGTATATCATTTTTTCGGGTTCAGCATCAGGTTTTAAGCCCTGTTTCAAGCAACCTGAAAAAATCCATTTAAATTAAAGTAAAGTTCGTAAAGACGAGTACCTAAATGTGTGTCTAATGTCACAACAGCAACAGATTCCAACGCCCATTTATACAATTCGTTTTTAAAGTCGCTGGGCATTTCCCCATCTTTATTTTGCGTGGCGAGATATTTTATATTTTCGACAAGCTCGTCTGCCACAAGGTTCATTTTATCAGTATATTGGGCAATATTTTTCGGTTGCATCATAATCGGGTTTACTATAGTACGAAATTTAAACCAGTCCTCTCTTTGTCTGAAAATTAATAAACTAATAATAAAATATGTTACAGTTAGAACGATTGTACGTACTGTCCAACAAGTGCTATACCAGAAAACAGGTTTGTTCGTATTTTTTGGTAATAATCCAGTGATGGTTGGTTTTTTCTTATAGGCCACACACCTTCATTTCTAGCTAACTAATGAATAAATAACAAACAATTTTAATTCATGTGTATCTTCTTGGACGTTTAATTACCGTTTCAAAATCTTTCGGGTTGTACAATGTAACTATTTCTTTAATCCAAGAACCCGCCATGCCTTTGAGAACAAAAATGTCGCCAAATTCTTTATATAAACTGCAAAAAAGTGCTTTTGGTTTTGTTTTTAAATTACTGATATTCACCCTTTGTGAACTTCTAGAATGTCTTGCCCTCGGAATAACGGTAACATTAGCCTCCAGATATTTCCAACGAGAGGGAAGGACCTAGGACCCGGAATGCTCTTAAATGGTTTGGCTTCATCCCATCCAGGTGGCTTTGTGTCTGCTGTATCCGCAGCATTCAAATTTCTGTAATGTTCAAGTTTTTTCTCAAATGCGATACTTTCGGCACTCGTGGACATGAAGAGTTTTGGTGTTTTGGACGTAACATTCTTTAATAAATTTGTCGTTATCATTTTGTGAAACTACAATAAAAAAATTAAAGACATACTTACAAAAGCTGGATATGCTTACGTGTTTTCACGAAATAAAAATGTCAGAACGTGTTTCGTGCGTTGCGTCTGAATGTTATATTTATGTGGTTATTTAGTTGTAATAAGCGCAACCTTGAACGTATTTGTGTTGTTTTCTAATGAAATTTGGTGTAATGTAATGTAATGTAATGTAATTGTACCAAAAAATGTGGTGAATTCTGATCTGTGTTGTTTTCACGGAATTTGTGAATACGGACGTAACTTTACTAAAAATAAGGTTTTTCGTGTGAGATATGAACGGTGTTTTATAAATAGTATTATTAGGTTTAAGTTACTCCTTCCTAGCGTCAGCTTGGTAAACAGATGCCTCAGGTGGTCACGTGTTTATCTGGTCAAACAAAGGAACCACGAATTGAAGTTTCGTCGTAATTTTTATATTCAAACTAATTTCATACGAAGTTATCGACTCTTAAAGAGATTCTCCCGTGTGATAAGCTGATAAGGCTGATGTAATATCAGTACAGTCAATATCAGTAAATTTAATAATCATTGCTGTATGGTCCCGCCGATATACCGGGTGTTAAGCTGTGGACCATATTTCACAAAAATATCAGAAATTTCTTTAAATAACCAAGTTTATGACCGCTTTATAGGATACATTTTTCTGTGAAAACCAAGTTGGTTTGAGATATAAATTATTTATCAACCATGCAATTATTTCACTCATCATTCAAAATTTATCAATGCCCTCACTCAGTTTTGGTGAACTTCTAGGAGCAATTCTTGCCCCTCTTCTTTTTACTTCCCGAGCGTAAGCAAAGGAAGTATTGTAATCGAGTCCGTCGGTCGACTCTCTACTTTTACGTTTTCTCGATCTTTCATGACCCCTAGAAGACGAAGAAATATGTCTCCCATTTCCGTCTGTCTGTCCGTCTGTCCGTCTGTCCGTCTGTCCGTCTGTCCGTCTGTCCGTCTGTCCGTCTGTCCGTCTGTCCGTCCGTCTGTCCGTCCGTCTGCCGTCCCGGATTTTTATTAGACAGATAATCTCCGAAAGTACTCGACCGATTGTTGTGAAATTTTGTACTTATATTAAGAATATCATGTAGATGGTAAAACGCTAACCAAAATTTGTCTAATCATCCCCACCACTAATGCGATGACGTCACTTCAAAATTGTACATAGTAAATGGGTTTTCAATTGTATAAAATAACATAGTCCTACACATGTAGTTTACAACTCTGAATCGACTTTTCACCCGAAACGTCCAGATTTTTGGAAAAAAAATCAAAATTATAAAACAACATTTTGAAATTTAATTTTTAATCTGCTAACCAGAATGCTTTGAAATGTTGCAGATGTTTTAAGGCTATAAAGAGCATAATAAATTTTTAGTCAAAAAATATTTGCTTATCCCCTCCAAAAAATTGATGACGTCAGCTCAAAAGTTTATGGAATAAATCATATCTAAAATGTACAAAATATGATGAGTCTGTACTTGTGATCTATCACTCCATTCATATTTTTTGGATTTGCATATACAGGGTGACTCAAAAAAATTAATGAATGCGTAAATATATTTTATTGATTTAATCAGGAACTACAAAACCGAATGCTCTGAAATCTTGCAGATGTTTTAAGGTCATAAAGAGCATAATAAATGTTTAGTCAAAATATATTTGCTTATCCCCTCCAAAAACTTGATGACGTCAGCTCGAAAGTTTGCCGAATAAATCATATCTAAAATCTACAAAATATGATGAGTCCGTACTTGTCATTTATCATTCCATTCATATTTTTTGGATTTGCATATACAGAGTGACTCAAAAAAATTAATGAATGCGTAAATATATTTTATTGATTTAATCAGGAACTACAAAACGGAATGCTCTGACATCTTGCAGATGTTTTAAGGTTATAAAGAGCATAATAAATGTTTAGTCACAATATATTTGCTTATCCCCTCCAAAAACTTGATGACGTCAGCTCGAAAATTTGCCGAATAAATCATATCTAAAATGTACAAAATATGATCAGTCTGTACTTGTGATCTATCACTCCATTCATATTTTTTCGATTTGCATATACAGGGTGACTCAAAAAAATTAATGAATGCGTAAATTTATTTTATTGATTTAATCAGGAACTACAAAACCAAATGCTTTGAAATCTTGCAGATGTTTTAAGGTTATAAAGAGCATAATAAATTTTTAGTCAAAATATATTTGGTTATCTTCTACAAAAAACTGATGACGTCAGCTCAAAAGTTTGCCGAATAAATCGTATCTAAATTGTACAAAATATGATGAGTCTTTACTTGTGATTTATCATTCCATTCATATTTTTGGATTTGCATATGCAGGGTGACTCAAAAAAATTAATGAAGGCGTGAATTTATTTTATCGATTTAATCAGGAATTACAAAACCGAATGCTTTGAAATCTTGGGAATATTTTAAAGTTATTATAAGCATGGTAAACTTTTGTTCAAAATGTATTTGTTCATCCCTCCTAAAAAAATTGATGACGTCACCCTTAAATTTTGCTGAATAAATCCTATCTAAAATGCAAAAAATATGATGAGTTTGTACTTGTGATATATCATTCCATTCATATTTTTTAGATTTTCTTAAGAGGTGGTTCAAAAAAAGGCGCCGTATACCTGAGTAAATTGTTTCGTTATTTTATTGATTATAAGAAATCAATATTCAAAACGACCCAATTCATTTTCCCGAAAATTTGGGAATACAATAATTTTATTCTTAGTATTACACTACATCTATCCCAACTGATATACGTGTCCTTGCAAAAATGTTGATGACGTCATCACAATTTTTTTTTTAAATTCCCACTACAAAAATGTAATGAGAAAAAAAAAACACAATAGGCATGCAGTCGTCAAGTTTCCGACAGCGAGGGAAGTACTGTCTAAACTCTTTAGACCAATTTTTTTAAATTACATAAATGATTTACTTTGTTGTTTGCTACATAATCGATGCATGCTGTACATAGATGACATTATTATTGTTTAAGATAAAGGTGATTTAGACAACGTTGCTGAAGCATCCCGCAGTGAACAAAATGAGATATTAAAATTGGTTCATCTTTAATATATTAACAGCTAACTAGACAAAGATTATAACATAATGTTAAATATATTGGGAAAAGTGTTCAAAAACTATTCAACCAGTTAAAAAATGTAATATTCGTTAATATGAATGAGTACATATAGTATATTACATATGCATATATACATTCGTAAAATTTTAAGCACAGTAAGGGTTATTCATACTCATATAAGTACTTAGTTAAATATAGATAGATTTTTACTTCCCGAGCGTAAGCAAAGGAAGTATTGTAATCGAGTCCGTCGGCCGACTCTCTGCTTTTACGTTTTCTCGATCTTTCATGACCCCTAGAAGACGAAGAAATAGGTCTCCCATTTTCGTCTGTCTGTCCGTCCGTCTGTCCGTCCGTCTGTCCGTCTGCCGTCCCGGATTTTTATTAGACAGATAATCTCCGAAAGTACTGGACCGATTGTTGTGAAATTTTGTACTTATATTAGGAATATCATGTAGATGGTAAAACGCTAACCAAAATTTGTCTAATCATCCCCACCACTAATGCGATGACGTCACTTCAAAATTGTACATAGTAAATAGGTCTTAAATTGTATAAAATAACATAGTCCTACACATGTAGTTTACGACTCCGAATTCAGTTTTTACCCAAAACGTTCAGATTTTTGAAAAAAAATCAAAATTATAAAACAACATTTTGCAATTTAATTTTGAATCTGCTAACCCGAATGTTTTGAAATGTTGCAGATGTTTTAAGGCTCTAAAGAGCATCATACATCTTTAGTCAAAATATATTTGGTTATCCCCTCCAAAAACTTGATGACGTCAGCTCAAAAGTTTGCCAAATAAATCCTATCTAAAATGTACAAAATATGATGCGTCTGTGCTTGTGATATATCACTCCATTCATATTTTTTGGATTTGCATATACAGGGTGACTCAAAAAAATTAATGAATGCGCAAAATTTATTTTACTGATTTACTCATTAACTACAAAACCGAATGCTTCGAAATCTTGAAGATGTTTTAAGGCTATAAAGAGCATCATAAATCTTTAGTCAAAAAATATTTGCTTATCCCCTCCAAAAACTTGATGACGTCAGCTCAAAAGTTTGTGGAATAAATCATATCTAAAATGTACAAAATATGATGAGTCTGTACTTGTGATCTATCACTCCATTCATATTTTTTGGATTTGCATATACAGGGTGACTCAAAAAAATTAATGAATGCGTAAATATATTTTATTGATTTAATCAGGAACTACAAAACCGAATGCTCTGAAATCTTGCAGATGTTTTAAGGTCATAAAGAGCATAATAAATGTTTAGTCAAAATATATTTGCTTATCCCCTCCAAAAACTTGATGACGTCAGCTTGTAACCTACTTACAGGATTTCAAATAAATGCTACTGTATTGTTACCTCACGAAGTGGGTTTCAACCGGAGCCCAATAAAACTACGTTTACGACTAATTATATTATTAAAGGTATTACATACGATAAGCCAATCACTGTTAAAATATGCGGAAGGGCACCTCTTCTCTCCCCAGCGTAGGCGGCGGAGGCTCCTGACTCTTCCTTCGGTTCTCAGGTCCCTTCTCTTCCCGAAAATCTTCCTTCAAAAGCCCCCGAACTTGATTCTCTTCCTCCCGAGCTCCGAGCTCGCCCCTGCCCCGCTATCTCCCCCCTTGTTCTTATCTCTCTTTTTCTCCTCGTTTTTTCCCGTAGCTCGCACCAACACTACGCGTGATAGATGCGCCACCACTTCGAATGCAAATCAATTCAAAATTAAATAAAAATCCGTTACACACCCCCCTATGATAACAAAAAAATTTAAATTAAACATAATTAAAATTTTTTCCATAAGATGTATCCCACCTAAGAAAAAGGAAAGAAATTGTAAATAAAAAAAGATTCCAGTCATACTCCAGAATTTTCTAAGGAGTAAACAACAAAAGAATTTTGAGAGCCATTTTCGTGAAACAGCAAAAGTCTCTTTGAATAGGAATTCGAATCCAAGAATTTGCAGATTCAGAGAGTCACGAACAAAAACATCCTCCATCGGGAGAATATGAAACCTCTGACTGCTAATCGACGAAGGGCTAAAGTTAAATGTTAAAATCGAGAATAAAATGTCAAAATCTGGAAGTAAACGTCAGAATCGAGAAAAAATTGTCAAAATCAGGGTTTTATTGTGTGCACACGTCGTAATTGGGAAAAAAAATCAAATTGTCCTGCGTCGGAAAAAAACCTACTCATCCACTCACCACATTCATACCACATACACGAGATCACTCATACGTCATATTCTCTCTCTCAGGCACATAGACGTAAAAAAAATCATTCGTCGGTACTACTGTCTCCACGATCATCACCCCG